TTAATATTTGTTCTATTTTTACTTTTAAAAAATAAATTTTTTTTGCCATTTAAATTTTGATTTTTAAAGTTTAATAATTTTTTCAAAAAAAAATTTTTTTTCTTAATATTTCTACCAATTGTTATTAGGAATTTTATTATCTAAAAATACCTACTCAAAGGTGTGTTAAATGTTAGCGAAAGATGTCTAAAAATTGAAATTTTACGAATATTAACAGACTCTAGCTTCTCATATCTATTCTGGTGAGGAATTTTGCTGTTTTTTTTTATATTATTTTCAGACCGGAGAAAGAGTGGGAGTAAGAGAAGGGGTAGGGGGTGAGTGAGGATGATCTACTGTCCGCAAACGTAATTTGAGTAACTGTCTAAGATTAGAGAAAAAATAAACTAAAAAACATTCTTAACAAAAAGAAAATTTTTAAACTTATATTTTTAAACTTTATGTTAAAATTTTTATTAATTTTATTTTAAAGTTTAATATTTTATGTATTCCTTATTTTCTATGAGCTGGCTGTGTTTTCCATTTTATATTTTATATCAAAAAATATAAAATTTTTGTGAAATAATTTTTTCTACTTAAAAATTATTATTATTATTAATGTTTAATTTGTTATTTAATTAATATTCAATTAAATTCCGTTCAAATTTTTATATTTTTCATAGCAATAATTTTTTTTTATAGGTAACGACAAAAAATTTTTAAAAATATTTTTACTGAAATACAAGAAATTAATGTTGGAAAACAAAAAATAATTTCACAAAAGAATTTTTGTTTCGGAATAAAAATTATCAGAGAGGTTACTGCACGGTAATTATTTTTTAAATATTCACTTGTGCTTCCAGTGCCTTTCACATATACATAAGAATAAAACTATACATATACATACATATACATATATATATATGAGTCTATATTGTAACGTAGTAATGCTTCCTTTTTTTTATCTCACAATAAATAAAGGCAGACAACGATGTAGGCATCTTAAATTTTTTTTTTACTTTTTATGGTGTTGCTCAAATTGCTACTTTTTGAAATAATAAAAATTTTACTCATTTTAAGTTCATTTTAAGAAAAGAAAAATATTATTTTCACATAGAAAAAAATTTATGTTTTCTTATTATACGTTATATATATACTGTTAAAGTTATTTAATAATAATTTATTATTTTTATATTTATAATTTCGAAAATAATAGTAAGTATAAATATTATTATTAATATTTATTATTAATATAAGTATTTTTATTAATAATTAAGCCATTAGGCAAAAAAGAAAAGTTTAAGATCTTTATTATTTAAATTATATGTCTTTCTACAAAAATTTATCTCAACATTTATTATTAATACTATTATTATTCATAAAATAATAGAAGTTATCGATATTATTATTATCACTTTTTATTTTTTAATTATAAAAATTGATGTCGATTAGAAAATATTATTATTGAACTTCAAAACAATTACTTTCTTCGATTATTATTAGGTATACTTTTTTTTTACTATTTTCTTTTTAAATTCTTTTTTAAATTTTATTCTTTTATATTAAAGCATTTGAAATAAGCGCGCTTTTTTCTACCAATGAGAGAGTCAGAGTGACGCATGCGCAGTTTGCTTCCAATGACAATCATGGGCCAGACGATCTATTAATTATACGTTCCTTGGCGAATCTATCTCGGTAAGTTCTCAACGTATTTTGTACCCGTTTTTATTATCAAAATTATATTCGAGTTTTGTATTCAATCTTACTTTTTAGTAAACAAGTATAATTTTTAGTTTTACTCTTTTCATTCTTTCATATTTCTAAATTAACAATTACCCAACAATTAAATTCTAATCTGAAAATGTGACGCTCACGAAATTTCGAGGTTATGATTTTTTATCGTTTCTTAAAATCGTCATTCATTTCTTTTATTTGATTATTTGAATTTGATAATTCAGATTTCTTCATTCAGATTCAGCCGTTTAAGGTCATGTTATTCAGTGTGACGTTTTTCCATAGTAAAGTATATATTGGACACGTGAAAACTGTCCCTAATTAATTTTGAGTTTATTGGTTAAAAAATTTTATATTGCAAAGTGCACGCGAAATAAAATTTTTCTCCGAGAAAATTTCATGTTCAGAGCATTAAAGTAAAGTGGAGTCGGAAACTTTTCTTTTTTATATAGGGATACGTGTAAACAGTCACGTATACTTTCTCCGCATATGTAAATACTGATAAAATCAATAAAGCTTAAATTTACCCAATGAAAACTCTAAATAAATGAACTTTGTCAATAAAAAAAAACTTGATTGGAACAAAATTATAGTCATTTTTATTAAAATAGAAGAGAAAAATAAATTGGTTAATAAACTTTACTGACAGACTAGATTTCTTTGATCCCTTATAATAAGTTCAACTCCAACTTGCGTAAAATTGTGTTCAATAATGATAATAATTATTAATTATAATTAATTATTTAATTTAGATTCAAATCGTATTTATTTTCCTATAATTAGAAAATTAAACTTTTGATCAGTCTTTTGTTTTCTATATCGCAGTTATCATTGACTTTGTTTATTATTTCTAATTATATATTTATTCATACTTTATTTGGTTAGTATCGTTATTTTAATCGCAACGACAAGACATAGTTTTATACTTATTGACACGTTACTATGTAACTTATATTTATAATTTTAGGTAATTTATTTATGAAAAAAATTTGTTTCTAAGTAATATCGACATTCTCGTATTCTATAGTATAGTACGTTGGACATGAAACACTCGAATGTTTACGTTACCACTCCGAGTGAATCCAAAGGCTCCAATTTTAAAGATGCGTCCCAGATGGCGCAACACGCGGAAAGTGCGCTTCTCACCATAGAACTATTTTTTACTTGATATCATTTATAATTCTCGCTCTATTCTTTTTCATTCAATTTCATTCTATTTTTAACTTTATAAAATTTTTCATTCATTAATTTTTCATTTCTCAAAAAAAAAAAAAAAAAAAAAAAAAAAAACTAAGGAAATAGAAACAATACGAAATTGAATTTAAACTTTACGATTGCATTCTGCATGCAAAAGTTAATGTGAGCTTTTAATTTTGATAATGGAATAAGAGAGAAAAAAAATAGAGGAAAAAGTGTAGAAGTTCAGGAGGGAAAAAAATCGAACTTAGGACGTTACTTGCGTGATTAAGAGAGCACAGGTCATTACACTCGAATGTGATAATGTGAAGTCGACACTGAACGAAATTCAACGCGTCTGATATTAAGTATATATATATATAGGATATAAAAATAATTAAAGGAAAAGGGAAACGTTAAGAAAACAATTTATATACAACCATGCAAAAGTGTTGACACAAAATATTTATTCACGCACGAAAACAACTAATTTAGCTAAATTAATTTTTTTATTGTACTTTTGTGGTTCTTTCCGCGAAAATACAAAAAATTCATTTTTTTACCTAAACCCAAAGGCGTAAATAAATAAATAAATATTTCATTTCAAAATAATTATTTTCATTTATTATTTTATTAATGGAAAATAATGAAAAATAATTACTTTCATTTATTATTTTCGCATTAAAAATAAATAATTATTTGTTATTTATTTACACCTTTGGGTTTTTTTTTTAAATTATTAAGTAAATTTAAATATTTATTATTTATTTACGCCTTTGTGTTTAGTTAAAAAATTGAATTTTTGTTTTTGGATAAAACTAAAAGTAGAATAAAAATAACCCAAAGGGGTAAATAATTAATAATTATTTAAATTAACAATTTTTAAATAAACTCGAGACCCATATTTATGTCAATTAGTTTTTTTGTCTATGAAAAACTGTAAAAATTACATTTTTTTAAAATTAACCGAAAGGAGCAGAATAAATATATTTTATTTTTATTATTAAAAATTGAATTACAACCCTAAGCAGAGTTAGTCCCACTTTTTTTTATAGTTTTAAATTTATTTTTCAATTAAAAATTAGAATTTTAAAAATTAAAATTTTTTTAAAATATTAAAATATATTATTTTAGTAGAGTAAATAAACTTACAAGGAAGGGTATGATATTAGAGAGTAGTTTTAATACAAAGTTAAAAAAAATTGTAATATCATAAAAAGTATGCATTCTATCGAGGTTAAAATTTAAAATTAAAATTCTTACTTACTTTCATTTTTAAAATCTTAAAATTTTAATAAAGTTAACATTTTTTCGAATAATTTAAAATCATCTATGTTAGAAGTATTTTAAATAAGTATTTTTTAAAAATAATTTTATGTTATTTCATTTTTCCAGTAAACTTTATTCCATTAGCTTATCCATCCCCTTTAAAGTGATTTCCCTACCACTCGACCCCCACCACCATTTTTTCTACGCTCCTCAAAATGTTTAGCTTACCCCCAATGAAAAAGCAAAATAAAACTAACGAACAATTTTTAGGGTGGAATTTTTTTCCCTCCTCTACTTCTAGTATAGGTATAATTTAATATAATTTCTAGTATATATAATAATTTGCTTAAAGAGAAAAATTTTAATTATAATATCCAAAGTATTCGCTCAACATGACAGGTGAAGGTTAAATTTCACTGGTTAGAATCATGATATCGAGAGAAGAGGATTATAACTAAAAAGGGAGAAGTTGCTAAACTGGTCCTTGCCTTCATATTCGGCACAACGTGAAATAAAACTTCTGACCTCAATATTTTTTATCCTTATAAAAAAACACGAAATATTTCTTTATTTAAATCCAAAAGAGGCGCCATTTTGGAAAATGGGATTTGGAAAAAAAAAATTTCCCACTTAAAAAAAAGGAAGAAAAAAGGGGAAAATGACGAAAAAGGAAGAAGTGGAGGGGGGACAATGTAAGTTCCTGGAATAAGCCGGGTTGAAGATGAGTGAAAACGTAAACAGAGATATAACCTCTTCTTTAAATTTTCTCTCTATGTGTATTTTTGCAATAAAAATTGAATTTTTTCTAAGTTTAAAAATAGTAAAAAATAATTGAAACTAACGTTTCGATATTTTCTGACTACCGTTAAATTTGGACTGCCACTAAACACACGCGTCATTTCAAACCTTAGGATTAAAATTGCACGTAAGGATGCACCGGTAGCGGCCATATTTTCTTGCTGTCTCTCTCACTCCTGTGTTTTTCTCTCTCTTGTTTTTTTTTTTTATAAATGCTCACACACGACACGACACTTTAATGTTTATATTTTGTAGAGGGAGATTAGTGGTGGAGGAGGAGGAAATGTGTGTTTGCCGGCGACCGGGGAAATTATAACACAATCACCTGTTTCTGTGAGACTATACCTCGGCGTAAAAACACGAGGGACGATCGCTCGCTTTCGAGCGACTGCCGCCCGCGAGGGCAGACGACACATTTCGTTTGGATCCGGCGGGAGACGATCTGGGACTTCGCCACACACCACCCAACAGCACACAACTCCTCCAAAAACTTTGGTTTGTATGTATTTGTGAATCATGCGCGCCTCGATAACGGATAATGTTTCCAGCGGAAACTCAACACACAGTGCCAATGGTGAATAATCACAAAATTCATTAGAGGAGCTCGAGAAATAGAGAGAGAGAGAGATAGAGAGAAAAATTAGCAGATGATGCATTCTGAATAGAAATGAGAGAGGGGGAATTGAATTTCCCGCCATATTTGAACGCATGCGCCAAGCGACATTCAGGATCATTGCCAAAAGGTAAATAAATTTCTTTTTTCGGAATACGCTGCAAAAACATTGACTTTAACTATAGAGAAATAATTTTATAAAGTGGAAAAAGTAAACTTTAAACTAACAAAGTAGTCAAAGTAAATTTCTCACAACTTTAAGAATAATTACCAACTGTCGGTAAATTTAAATTTTTGATTTTAAAAATTATATTAAAAAATATTAATAATAATAATAATAATACTGCAAATAAGATTTTATGTTAATTAATTTTGATTAAACATTTCCAAAGAAAAAGAAGAAGTGCTGACATCTTATTTTGCAAGCAGCAATTTCAATGTCGGCAAAGGAGGATTATACACTACAACACTTGAACATTTCGTTTTGATACCTTTAATTCCTTAGATTACAATATTTTCTGTTTCGTCATGGTAACTAATAATAAATATAATAGAGAATAATGTTAATAACAACTATAAAATAATAGAATTGTAATAACAAGTTAATAATAAATTGCAACAAATAATAACTGAAAAATAATAGAATTATTAAAATAATTAAAAAATTATTTTAAATAACAAGTTAATAATAAATTGTAACAATACATAATTAACAAATAACATAACAAATGATAATTATAAATAACAAAAATAATAATAATTATTGTAATATTTTTATAAATTTTTACATTTTTGATCCAAAATAATATAATTCTGATAATAATTTAAAATAAAATTAATAAATAATAATAAATAAATAGCTAAACTTAGTTTAGCCTATGCTAGACGCGGCTCAATGTTCAACCCTGCAAAACTCGTGGTCCAGCCACGAGGGATCTGGTAGAACAGATTTCCAACTTCCTTCGTAAAACAAAAAAAACTATTTTTATAAATTTTTACATTTTCGATCCAAAATTATATAATTCTGATAATAATTTAAAATAAAATTAATAAATATTAATAATTTGTAATATTTTTATAAATTTTTACATTTTTGATGCAAAATTATATAATTCTGATAATAATTGAAAATTAAATAAAAATAAATTTAATAAATAATAATAATAATTTGTAATATTTTTAGCAATTTTTACATTTTCGATCCAAAATTATATAATTCTGATAATAATTTAAAATGAAAATAAAATTAATAAATAATAATAATTTGTAATATTTTTATAAATTTTTACATTTTTGATCCAAAATTATATAATTCTGATAATAATTGAAAATTAAATAAAAATAAATTTAATAAATAATAATAATAATTTGTAATATTTTTAGCAATTTTTACATTTTCGATCCAAAATTATATAATTCTGATAATAATTTAAAATGAAAATAAAATTAATAAATAATAATAATTTGTAATATTTTTATAAATTTTTACATTTTCGATCCAAAATTATATAATTCTGATAATAATTTAAAATAAAAATAAAATTAATAAATATTAATAATTTGTAATATTTTTATAAATTTTTACATTTTTGATGCAAAATTATATAATTCTGATAATAATTGAAAATTAAATAAAAATAAATTTAATAAATAATAATAATAATTTGTAATATTTTTATAAATTTTTACATTTTCGATCCAAAATTATATAATTCTGATAATAATTTAAAATAAAAATAAAATTAATAAATAATAATAATTTGTAATATTTTTATAAATTTTTACATTTTTGATCCAAAATTATATAATTCTGATAATAATTGAAAATTAAATAAAAATAAAATTAATAAATAATAATAATAATTTGTAATATTTTTATAAGTTTTTACATTTTCGATCCAAGATTATATAATTCTGATAATAATTTAAAATGAAATTAAGATAAAATAAATAAATAATAATTTGTAATATTTTTATAAATTTTTACATTTTTGATCCAAACTTATATAATTCTGATAATAATTTAAAATTAAATAAAAATAAAATTAATAAATAATAATAATAATTTGTAATATTTTTATAAATTTTTACATTTTCGATCCAAAATTATATAATTCTGATAATAATTTAAAATAAAAATAAAATTAATAAATAATAATAATTTGTGATATTTTTATAAATTTTTACATTTTTGATCCAAAATTATATAATTCTGATAATAATTGAAAATTAAATAAAAATAAAATTAATAAATAATAATAATAATAATATGTGGTTTAATAACCAAAACAATTAAAATAGAATTTTAGCAAACAGTATACATAATTATATAATTGTTATTTTATTATTTACAAAAAATTTTTCTCACACTTAATTTACTGCATTATCTACAATAAGTACTCTGAATATATTTTTACTGGTCCTAAACTATTGCTAGAACAATTCCAATAATTATCTGAGTCATCAAAATTAATTTATTTAACAATTCCTAAAAAGTAACCACAGCCGATAATCAGCAGAAGATGAAAAATTATTTTTGAGCAAACTTTATCTTCTGTTTACTAACAATTGTTGTAAAAAAATTTTCACTGATCCTAAACTATTGCTAAAACAATTCCAATAATTATCTGAGTCATCAAAATTAATTTAATTCACAATTCATAAAATGTAACCACAGCGGATAATCAGCAGAAGATGAAAAATTATTTTTTGAGCCCAAATTAAATAAAGGCAGAATTCTATAAAAGAATCTCTTGTAATGCGATACAACATCTGTCGATACTTTTTGATACTACTTAGAGTCTTAAAACAAATGTCTGATCAATTCATATGTACCGACAAAAAAGATTCTATGCTCGATAAGAGGGGAACTTCTTTATCTTCTTAAGGGGGTACACTAGTTCTATTTTTCAAAAAATTGATTATCTTTTTTGCATTTTCCTAAATTATATTTATATGTTTTCAGAAGTGTCTCTAAATTTCTATTCGGAACAAAATTTTTGTTCAGATGAAATATACTTGCAAAATGCTGGTCATCGAACTTTATTGATTGAACTCGCAATGAACTCATAAAGTTTTTGTTAGAAAAATATTTTTTTTTTTTTAATAAGCTTCAGGTATAAATAATTGTCGTCAGTTTTTGATAAAATTATAACAGTTTTTGTAATTATCATATTTTAATCGTATATTTAACAAAAATATCGTTTTATTTGTAGAAGATGTTTTCTTATCTCTACATTAGGCATATTTATCGACAATTGATCAATATTAATAATTAATGGAATTTAAAATAATAAAATTGTAAACTATTCTATTTGTAGTTAGGTACTTTGAATAAAAATTCATAATTTGTAGATTCGCAAATATTTCTAATAAAAAATTTAGCATAGAATTTAAAAAAAACTACAATCAGTTGCTTAATTCAGGTGTTTTTCAATTTGACATTTATGAATATTTAAAAACTTTTAGATTTTTCAACTAAATGTTAATAATTTCATTTTGTAAATCGTATATTAGAGTTTGATTTTTGAGAGCTACAATTTAGTTGTAGTCTCTCTTTGCGAAAGAAAACAAAAAATCAGTCATACATCATAAGAAGAAGATCAGTAATATTTTGATAATTTACAAAAATTATATTCGTTTAGTAAGTTTAATTCCTTTTTACAAAAGCTAACTAGCCCTAATCCCTTAGAAATTTTTCCCTATTTTAAATGCTACTAAGAAATTTACAAATAATTTTTATTTTAGATTCAAAATATTCGAATATTAGAAGATGGAAATTGCTAATTTGTCAAATTCAAGTCTAATTCAAACAATTTCGATTGTTACTTACTTACAAAGACTAAGTAATTATATGCATTTGAGTTACAATCTAAAAGTGAACGAATTAAACAATTCATTTGCAATAATAAATTCCTTTGTAACCTACTTAAACACCTATGGAACTGAAGATGTAAATTCAAATTTTTTAACCCATTGGTTATTGAACGAGAATATTTACTACGATGAAGATAATGATAAAAATATCATTTACAATAAAGATTTTAAAAAACTTTTATTCGATCATATTATACTCACAGTTGTTTTTAAAAATTACGGAAACATTTACGGCTTTCTGGCCCATGAAATTCAAAAAACAGATCTACGCCAATCAGTCAATACTTTTCTCAATCTAGTGAAATTTTCACTTCTAAAAATGGAATTTAAATCAGAAAAACTCAATGATGTGACAATTGGTAGAATATTCGAAAAAATAATTGTTCCCCTCTTTCCTGGATCATTTAGAAATCTCTATATTAATTCCCTGGACTTTATCTACACACAAGCTGGTCATTATTTTTATCGTTCGAATTTTGAAAGAAAATATGAGTTTATAAATAATTCAAAGAATAAAAATATTACCAGTCTGATTGAATTTGATAAATATTACAAAATTGCATTGGCTGTTGAACAATTGTCAATTACCGGAATTATTGACATGGGTTCGTTAAAAATTTTCGCGCTACCGGCTATTCTTCACTATGTTAACTATGAGAGGAAAAAATTCTCCTTTAATAAAATAAAGGACATTGTAACTGATCAAAAACAGTGGAATACTGCTTATTATTATTTATTCACCTATTTGCAAAGTGTCTACGATTTGATAAATTTGACAAAAGATGAAGATCCAAAGTATCAGTACTACAAGGCTGTGTTAAATTTTAAAAATTATACAACATTGGTAAGAGAAGAATTAGGAAAGAAATGCAATTTTTCCCAAGAGACTAGAATTGATGCTGAAGTTCTTAAGTACGTTAAAAATTCATCGGATTACACTTGTTTAGGTTCAAAAAAATTATTACCAGTGGGAAAAATTTATAACGAGCAATCTAGTAACATGTTTCTTAAGTATTATGACTTTGCAGAAAAAATACATCAAGAAAGTCTTAAGTCCAGTTTGGTAAACATTCCAAATCATTTTCGGATTAACGGTGCAAAATTTGTTAATTGTAAAATACTGCAAAAATCCGATAATTGGCATTGTATGTCATTACTATATGCTTGTATTATAAGAATCGTTGAAGGAATTTCATCGTATTCGACAAACAATTGTCCTGTACCAGGAGTAATTAACTGGACAGATCTGTTCAGTTTTGATGATTTTTACCATCAATTCACGACAATTGAAACTCGTCGCATCTTTTCGAGAATGGAAACAACTTTAAGAAAAGTAGGTTTAAAGGCATCGATGCAGACAGCAGTAGAGAATGAACAAGTATTTTGGAACGCGAAAAAGATTGATCTTAAAAGTACCCCTCTTTGGAATTTAGGAATTCCCAAATATCCTGGAATTGATTATGAATTTGAAATTAATTCAATGTTTCGCGATCATGAATTAATTGCCATAGATTATCTATTACTGAAAATTGAAAATCAATTTTTTAAATTTTCCTAAAATATCTGTTATTGTTAGGGATTCAATTACTTTGTAAGAAATTTATGTATTCTCTTTTCTATTTTATTTAATTCATGCTTTGGTAAAACAAAAAAAAGTGTTCTGTTTTATCGACCGTAGATAATTACCGACCGCAGATCATGAAAATCTGTAATTCAATAAGTAGTTCACTAAGGACTCACTACCAAGAAGAAAGCGCTAAGAGTAGCCCTCACTTGCAGAGTGTGTCAGTTCAGGAAACGCCGTCAAGTTAGTCCGGAAGTCACCACCGAGTTAACTTTGCGTCTTCTTTGTGTCAGTCCGGCAATCGCCATCAAATTAACTAGTTGTGTACTGTCATGGAGTTTCTTCTTCGACTCCAGCTCAAAAAATCTCTTCAAGTACCAAGTTCCTTCTTTGATTCTTGTCTTAGTCAAATTCATTCAAGGAGATAATTTCTACTGCGAGGCACATTTCTATTTTTCTAAGGACTGCATTACCTCGACATCAACGTCAAGTAAGTAATTCCGTCACTCCTAGCCTGAGGGGTGTTTTATCTAATTTACATCGACATCTGAATTCCAAACCTTTCGCTTTTTCTGTCCCGAAAACAATTTGAGGAAAATCTACTGCATTAATAAATAATAATAAATGATTTCGTAGTGTGAATTTAAAATATTTCTCCCATAATAATTAAATTCTTGAAATAATTCTTGACGCTAGATGGTAGATCGACATAGTAGTCTTCCAATATAATTCTTGTTACAGTTTGATTATTAATATTGAGATTCCCAAAGAAGACGAATTTTGCTTCAGTTTGCCTGAAGACATCTGGATCTGCTCTTCCTCTCTCATTCTAATGGGGATCATTATATGTAAAGCTAATCTCAGATGGCAGCACCATAGCAAGATTTGTCTAGCGCTTAATTTTTGATTTCGCGAAAAGTCATATTTGTTTTACAAACAAATGGGCGAAGTAAATAAATACTTTTTTTGGAATTGTGAAAAGTTAAAAATTGAATTACTTGGGTGAGGAATTTGTGTCACAGAAAAAAAGACAGTTTTGCAAGTCACAGTATCGTAAAAGTATAGATAAAAAAATTGAGGTTATGTTGCCTGTTATTAAAAATATTGTAAACACATTTTAATTTTGAATCTCCCAACATCTTTAAATAGTTTTCCGTACTTTATTATAAACAATATTTCTGATCTAATGATTTTATTCTTCATTTACATGAACAAAAACCATTTATATTGTTTAATTAATATTATGCAACAAATCACATTTAAAATTTTGCGCCATAAAATCTTATAGTAGTGCTGCACTCTACTGGTCAAGTTTGGCTGTGAGGATCCCCATTGTAAAGGATTCAAATAAAAACTTTAATGATTTAAATTCAATTTTACAGTTCCTGTTTCTTAAAGAGGTTTAGGAACTGGAAAATTACTTCCTCTAGATGAACTTTTAAAGACTAAATTACTTAACTGCTGATGACGAAGAGTTTGACCATTCAAATCTTCGACATCACAGTTAAGGGATTAACTTTTATGGCCTGAAATGAAAACGAGTAAATGGAAAATTTTAACAAATAATAAATATGTAAATGACTATTGTTTCTTAAAAATAAAATACGTATTAAAAAACATGACACGTGTTGCTTAACAAAAATGTGTTATTATAAAAAATTAAAATTCTAATATGACGTAAAATCAGTCTGGTATTTGTTTAAATTACCAAGTCAATTTTTAACAAACTTGTCAAATAATTTTGAAAGCTGAAAAAATATTATAATCCCGTCATAAACATATAAATAGAGAAAATTTATCCTAAACATTACATTGTCTTAAAGTGTTCGAGGTTTCAACAATTCGCAAAAACTTTACTGATTTAAGTTTTGTCAAAATAAATTTTATCTTAATTTCAAAATTGATAATAAAGAAACTTCAAATCAATTTTGATGATCAGAACTATAAAAAAAATAAATAATGGAGATTTCAACACTAACTACAATTCAAATGATTTCTACTGTCACGTATTTACAAAGACTAAGTAATTTTCTGCATCTAAGTTACAATCTTAATGTAAATAACAAAAATAATTCGTTGGCAATTATTAATTCTTTTGTATATTATCTGTCTACCTACGAGAAAAATGAGATTGATTCAAATTTTTTGACCCATTGGTTAATGAACGATAATGTTTACTATGATGCGGCTAATGATGAAAAAATAAAGTACCAGAGAAATTTTAAAACAACTTTATTCAATTACATAATTTGTAACGTTCTTTTTAAAAATTATGGAAATCTTTATGGTTTTCTGGCGGAAGTATATCGACACTTGGAAATTAATCAGACAGTTGAAAATTTTCTCAGAAATGTAAAATTGAAATTAAAAGAAATGAGTGAATTAAATTCGTCAGGAAATGTTGTACTCGATGACGATGCAATCAAAATTATATTAGATCGACTAATTGTTTCACAATTTCCCAGACATCATGAAATGTTAGATATATATTCAGTGGATTTTATTTACGCACAAGCGGGTATTAATTTGTACAATTCACATTTAATGGAGTATCATTATAATTCAGAAAGGAATTGGAGAAGGCAACATATTTATCAGAGTGAGTATCGTTTTGATGATTCTCTCGAAATTGGATTGGCAGTGCACGAATTAGTTATTTCTGGCAATATTGACAAGGAAGCTTTAAGAATTTTTGCACTCCCAGCTATTTTGAACTATGTTAAGGCCAAGAGGGTTGATCTTAAAAAAGTTGAAATAAATCAAATTGTTACGAATCCAGAACACTGGAATAAGGCTTATAATATGTTATTATATAAATTGAAAATTTTTTTTGGTTTTTCTAATACCATCATCCGTAGAGATACAAAATATCAATATTATCTGGAATTGTATAATTTCAAAACATACTCCACATTGGCTAGAGGACAAATATTGAGAAATTGTGAAACTTTAAATTTGACTCGCTTAGAAGAGGAAACCATGAAGTATGTTAAGAATCCTAACAACTATTCATGTTCTGAACATAAAAAATTATTGCCGTTAGACGAATTATTCAAGATCAAAACAAATAAATTTCTTTATAAATATGATATGTTTGCTTCAGCAGTTGATAAGGAGAATGCTATAAATAATTTGAATATTTCTACCAGTCGTCCACTTACAATCAATAATAAAATATTCACTGATTGTAATGAATCAATAGATGCACACAAGGATCAGAACAAGAGTCATGTACCTTTTGTAGCTAAATTAAATACAAATTCCAACTCTAAAAATCACTGTTTTTCCATTCTTTACGCATGCACTGCAGGTGTCATTGCTGGACATGAATTTAATTCAACAAATAATTGTCCAGTAAAGGAGGCAATTCGTCTACAAAATATTATCAATCGGAAGTTTGTGAATTTACATTTGACTCAGGAGATATCACGAATGTTATTGGTATCAAGTGGAACATCTTTGAGGACTCTAGCTCTAAGGTCCTCTATGCTAGCAATTTTAAAAGCAACCGATTTACAGGAAAAAAGAAATGAAATATTCTATGACGTGGGATATCCAAAAATTCCAGGAGTTGATGATGGTTATAAGTTAGACGACATTTTTTGTGCTGATGGTTTAAAATCAATAGAATATCTGATAAATACTATTGAGAAGAGATTTTTTATTTCATATAAAGCTGCATCTAGAAAGATTGTAATGAAATTTAATCACTCATGTAAATGAAAAATAAAACCTTCGAAAGAAATATATATTGTAACAAAATAATAAAAAAAATTCAAAGTATTTAGAGGAGCAACGTAAAGACAAGGATAATAATATTCTTTGCAACTAAATAATTATACTTGTAATTTATTTTAATTGTTTGCTCTTTACTCCGAAGCTCAAAGAAAGGGCAGTCCAAGATTAATTGTTGTTTCGTTACAAATGTTAGATCGACGCCTAAAATGTTGCAACCTATCTAAAGTACAGATTAATTAGAATTAGATTTTATCAACAGGGTTAGCAAGGAATAGACTTAACAAGTCTGTTCTTTAGAATAATTCTTTCAAGTTTAGTTATTTAGAATAAATGTGAGTTATGTGTGTAAACAAGTGTTTATTTATTTAACAAAAAGGTCACTATTCGTTTCCATCACTAATCGGCAAATTATTTAATTGAAATTCCCAATTCTAAACATTCTAATCAATTCCTAAATATAACTTGTCTTTTCTTAACATTTTAGACACGCAGCCAGGCGCTTAAATAAATTAAAAATAAGAAAGATCGCCTTTATAATTTTTACCCACCAGAATTCTTTTCCCTAATTCTGAGTCTATATAATTTATTAATCAAACCGGCGTAGCCACAGGTTAAACATTATAAAATAAATTAATAAAATATTAATTAATTAGAATTAATAGAAATTAAGTAATTTGAATTAAAGTACGACGATGTTAATAAAATACAGAACTAGTCTAGAATTTATCCCATGATCTATCGTTATGAACGCGACATAATTTTCTTTTACTGTTTTGCATTCAGAGAAGAGCACCTCGAGGCAAGTCGGTAGGCGAACTGAACGAAAAGACTGAGCGCGCGAGTTTATATAGGTTCGCTCCGCAGCAGCGCGAAGAGTGGTGGGGGTAAAGGCAAGCGGCGCGCATTACGTGCGCGGTAGTTAGTCTCTCTCTGCCTGTAAGCTATGCATGACTACGATGGCTGTGCTGTATGACGTTTCTACTCCTATATACCATAGTTACAATTCGTTGTTAAATATTATTTATTATTGCAATTTATTAAATATTATTTGTTATTACAATTTGTTATTGAATATTATTTATTATTACAATTTCTTATATAAATTAAGTTTTGAACAATTACAATCCACAATAATCACAAATAATAATTAGCTTTATTAATATTTTTTTATTATTATCTATTGTTGTATTTAAAAAAATATGTAGGTGTCAATAATTTGATAAAAGAAATTAAACACAGCAGTATTTGCAGTTTATTTAAATTAGATAGTAAATATTTAATGTGTCGATTAGTAGTTTTCAAAGAAGAAAAAAGTAGAATCATCCCAAGGCCCCAAAAACCATTGCCAAAAAAATAATTATAATACATTACTCTGTCAAATTTAGTTCATAGTTTCAATTATCCAAGTTTCTGTAAGTATAATGAATAAAAAATTATCATTCCTATTTTTTACTCTCTTAATTCATATAAACGTTTGAATTTCAGTATTCAATTTGGATGATCAGAACTATAAAAGAATTTATTGGAGATTTCAACCCTAACTACAATTCAAATGATTTCAACTGTCACGTATTTAGAAAGACTGAGTAATTTTCTGCACCTAAGTTACAATCTTGATGTAAATAACAAAAATAATTCGTTGGCAATTATTAATTCATTTGTATATTATCTGCTTACCTACGAAAAAATGAGATTGATTCAAATTTTTTGACGCATTGGTTAATGAACGAGAATGTTTACTATGATGCGGCTAATGACGAAAAAATAAAATACCAGAGAAATTTTAAAACAACTTTATTCAATTACATAATTTGTAACGTCCTCTTTAAAAATTATGGAAATCTTTATGGTTTTCTGGCGGAAATTTATCGACACTACGAAGGTAAGCAGACAATTAAAATGCTTCTCAGAAATGCAAAATCTAAATTGAAAGAAATTAGAGATTTAAATTCATCAGAAGATGTTGCACTATATGACGAAGTAATCGATGTAATATCGCACCGATTATTCATTCCACACTTTCCAATAGTGAGAAAAGATTATTATTTAGATTCAGTGGATTTTATTTATGCACAAGCAGGCATCATTGCTGGGAATGAATTTAATTCAACAAATAATTGTCCAATTAAGGAGGTAATTCGTTTTCAAGATGCTGCCAAGGAAATGTTTTTGGATCTTCATTTAACTGATAAGGAAACACAAAATTTCTTGAAATCGAATGGAATATCTTTGAGGACTCTAGCTCTAAAGTCCTCTATGCTAACTATTTTAAAAGCTAAAGTTTCGATGAAAAAAATTAATTTACATGACATGGTAAATAATATAGGATATCCAAAAATTCCAGGAGTTGATGATGGTTATAAGTTAGGTGACATTTTTGGAGCTGATGGTTTAAAATCAATAGAATATCTGATAAATACAATTGAAAAGAGTTTTTTTTATTTCATATGCAGCTGCTTCTAGAAACTTTACTGTTAATTTTGAATTACTCCGAATGAAAAAATAATTTTAAATTGAGTGTAGTTGTTTAAATAAAAACGTACCTATATTTAAGATGATATTGTAATTGTTTTAATGCTAAATTATATTTTAATAATTTCTATAATGACTTCTATGTTCAATTTTTAAAAAGTAGGATGACTAATATTAAACAATGTTGAAATATAACTTTTTTATATTGAAGAACAGATGTGTAATTATTTGCTAACATAAATACTACTTTCATGAAAAAAGTGTAAACAAGTAGAGGAATAATAATTATAAACACTTGTTGATAAGAAGATTGCGCAAATTGTTAATAATTCTTTTATGTTTTTCTATATTCCTCGTTACTTTATTTTAATGATTCATTAAAAACATTTGGTTTTTAATTCGAAAATCAAATTTTTTCCCTAAATCAGGTTTTTAACGACACAATAATATTGTGGGAGATTTCAGCTATAATCTAAACACTGCTTCATTCAATTATTTAATTTTACTTCCATTTCAGTCAAATTTTATTTTAAAACGTGGTCCCCTAGCAAGGAAACTAGATCGACAACTGTATGATTCAAGCAGCATTAGGCTAATGAGAAAAGTTTTATATAAAAAGGGGAACCAGTTCTGTTCAAATTTTTTTTTAAATCAACCTGAACACATCGTTCAGTACAAGAGAGTAATTTTTTGGAAACCAATCTGAACACATCGTCTACAAGTGAACTCAAAGTACATTATTGAAAGTGAACAGTATATCTCCAAGTATTACTTTGAAACGTACATCGTTAAAAAGTGAACTAATTCCCAAAGTATTAAGGCCAGGTTCATCCAAAAAAACATGTTTTTTTCAAACCTATTTTATTCGTAATATAAGAAATATTTTTAAATGAAAGTTTTTACAGTTGAAAGGTATTAAAAAGTACTAAGTAAAAAACATTTTTTTTTCTTAATAGCGGTTGCTGGAATGGCTGTTAGAAAATGCCCTTTTTGTTGGTGGGTGACAGGATTAATAGAAAACGAATCATCTGAAAGAAAAAATCAAAACGGTTTCTTATTCTGTATTACATTGGCTATGCTCTGAACTAAAATAAAACATTTTTACAAAAAAAAACAAAATAGAGGACTTTTTAATTGTTTATAACTTTTTTAAATAACAATGAATTTTTTTGGTTGTAGTTCACACCATAGAGAGACATTTTAAGAGTAAAATACCGTTTGGTTTGTGTTAATAATAGTTTCTAAATGAGAGTGCCACCCAGTTGAAAAAACGTGGTTTCAAGAAAAAGGCGATAAAGGTTTTTGTTTGTAAAAAATGGTAAAAAAATGAATTTTACTTACATATCCAATCCATCTGCGTACACAACTCCATCCTGGTTTTCATAGGGGTCCTTTCAGAGAAGGGAATATTTTTTAAAAATAAATAAATAAACAAGCAGTTGACTATCACATCACCAGTATAATCGTTATTCTTTAAGTAAGATTTATAATTTTAGTTATACTCATTGTATTTTTGTCAATTCTTTTCTTTCTTGTTGGTTTTTAAATAAATTATTCTCTCAATACATTTAATAGGCTCATTGACTTATCCTCATCCCAAATTAGATTCATTTATGAAACTAATTTAAAACGAAGAACGTTAGATATATTTAAAAACGTTTCTTGTTTTTAGCGTAACAATTGCTTTTAGTTTTAGTTTGTAATTTTTTTTACACATATCGCCTCAACCCCTAAAGAGAAAATAAAAACTTTTGGCAAATATAAAGTGGAAATAAAGTTCGAGTGAATCTATTATTTATTCAATATTTGCCATATATCGATCAAATGTTTAACCAGATACAATTTTTATTACAAAATTCAGTTGAAGATAGACATGAATTAGTTTCGTTTTCCTAAGTTCTAGTAATAAATAAATTTTCCATAAATTAGAAAAAAATTATATTAGATTATTTAAATATGTCAATATTTAATAAATATACAAACAATACGTTACGAAATATTAAACAATTAGAAAAGTTAATATAATTCTAGATTTATATAAATGTACAAGAACAAAGTTTCCTAAATATTAATATTTCTCAGTTTGGTCTAATTTCGTAAAATTTACTGGTATCACCAAGAATTGGTAAGTTTAAAAAAAAACCTTTTACAAAATTCTAACAATGAATAAGTTTATTTTCTTAATTAAACAATTTAAATCTTTTACTAATTTCAGATTAACTCTTTTATTGTGAATATTAAAAATAATATTAATATTTATCAATATTTATTTAATAAAAATACATATTTAAAAAATGGACATTGCAAATTTTACACAAACCCTAAATGCGATAGAAATGATTTCAATTGTCACTTATTTACAAAGATTGAGTAATTTTTTGGAAATGAAAAGTCATCTTGAAACAGAACATAAAAATAATTCTTTTGCAATTATTAATTCGTTGGCAAATTTCTTGAGTATTTACGAAATTAATGAGGATGAATCAAATTTTCTAACTTATGCGTTGCTGAACGAAAAAGGATATAAGGAACCAATATTCACACACAGAACACATAATGCAAGTAGTGAAAGTGACTTTAATAATTCATCTATAATGATGTTACGAAACAAAAAGGTGAATTTAACAGACAATGAATTTTCACACTATGGGTATCAATATGTGACCTACGAGAAAGATTTTAAAACAATTTTATTCGACTACATAATTTGTGAAGTTATTTTTGAGAATTACGTCAACACTTATGGTTTTTTGGTAGAAATTTACCGCCGTGGTGAAACTATTCAATCGATTGGAACTTTACTAAAAAGTGCAAGATTTGCACTTGTTAATATGAGCAGTACTTTTAATTTCACAGAAACGAAACTTAATGTTGAAGTGATCGAAAGAATATTTAACGGAATAATAATACCACTATTTCCAGGATCGAATGAAACGTTGATAAATTCATTAGATTTTGTCTACGCTCAAGCAGGTTCGATTTTATACCATTCTCCCTTAGTTCGGTATGATTACTTCTTCAAATTACAAAATAATTGGAAAAAATCTCAGGATCGTAATAGTGGAGGATATATTTTTGATGATTGTATGGAAATTGGATTGGCTGTCCATCAATTGGTTACTTTTCGTAAGGTTGCGAAATCATCGCTTCAAATTTTTGCACTTCCGGCACTTTTCAACTATGTTAGAGTTAATGGAGCTAAATTTAAAGATGTAAACATAAAACATGTAGTTTCTGATTCTGAACTCTTGTCAAAAGCTTATGATTTGCTATTTTCAAAATTACAGACATCATTTTATGTTCTTAATCGTGTTAAAGCTATGGATCCAAAATATCAGCTTTACTTGGCTTTGTATAATTTTCAAAATCGTAAAACATCAAAGGAGGAATATTTGAGAAAATGTGAAGCATCGAATGTTATTAGGTTAGGAGCGGAAATTATCAAGAGAAAATACAGAATTAATCGGTCATTATTCTCGATTTGTGACAAAGTACAACATTTAAAATTAGATCATGTTTGGAATTCAAGTTTGGAAAGGAAAAAACGACTATGTGTCTCATCACTCTTTGCGTGTACGGTGGGCATCATTGAGGGAAATTTAATGAATTCATCAAGTGATTGTGCAATAAGAGGAAAAATTAGAATACAACACGTGACAGAATTGAAGACCCTTAGTACACAATTAACAACATACGGTACACAAAGGATAATTTTACAAATAGGAACATCCCTAAGGACTGTTGCTTTAATGTCATCAATGTTAACAATCTTGAAGAATAAAAAATCGAAAATAACGAAAGAGGATGAAATGGCTGAGGATTTTAACAATATAGGATTTCCGAAATATCCACAAATTGACAATGGTTATGAAATTACGACCACATTGAGTGTTGAAGGTTTAAAATCAGTGGAAGATTTAATACGAACTGTTGAGAAAGATTTTTTTATTTCCTATGAATCTAGTATTCGGAATTTTAGTATGAATTTCAATAAAATCTGAGTGGAGCACCCTACTGAATTTAAATTACAAAAAATTATGCAAATATATAAATCTGTTTTGTTACTCTCATGAACTTGAAATCAGCTCTTCTAACCTGTTTATAATATCAACATTATCAGATTCAAAATATATCTGATAAATTTTTTAACCAAGTACTAATCAACCATGAACTTCTTTATTCATTCAACCAATCCAATAATTCATCTACAATTATTACAAACCACATTATTATCAATCATAATATTTGTGAATCCAGTATTTAATAAAACAATATAAATTTTATAAGCAAAAGCAATTTGATGTTTTTATTAATTCCTGTTAGCAGGAGATGCACCTCGGTGCAGGTCGGATCCCCAACTGGATGCAGAGCAGTGAGCGGACGGTTTATAAGCGCTAGCGCGACGACAGCGAATGGTGGGGGGAAAGGAAGCGGCGCGGCGTTCGTGCGCTGTCGTCACTCTTCCCTTTCTCTCCGCCTGCTAGCTATACGCGTCTACGTTGGCTATGCAGATAAATGGACAAATTAATTTTTTTTTAAATATCTAATCCCTTTCCTTTTCAAAAGCATTTTCTTGAGATTTTTGAATTTACAGATCGTCGGTAATGCAGAAATAGATATTTTTCAAATGAGATTTGATTTCTTGGAAATTATTCAGATTCTTGAACATGCTTCGAAACGATGAATAAATAAGTTTCTTACATTAATTCGACGCTAAGAAATCATGATTGTGAACCTTCAATAAAATCATTTATTTGATGAACCAGATGTTGTGTTTCAATAAATTTTATATACAAACTTAAATTTCTTTTTATATTTAACAAAAAACACCTGTTTAATATTCTAACAGTGCCCTCAATTCACGTATTTTACATATATCTATATTGGAAATATGTATATTTCTATAAATTTCCACACTTAATGTCAATATTTAAAAAACGTGTCGAGAATAATTCTAAGAATAAAAAGAACATGCGACTATGATAGTTATAAATTTATAGATTTTTTTGTTAAACTTCTCTTTGTATCATAGAAGTTGAAGAGAATTGGAATAGTGAGAAAAATTTCCGTAAGTATTTTCAAAATTTATTATTTCACTTTCTACTGAAAAAGTCAATCAAAAAGTATTCTTTTTTTTTATTCTGAATTGCAATTATAAAAAAAAATTCTTTTTACAGAGTAAATAGAAGAAAATGGAGATTGCAAACTTGACACATACGTTACATACCGTACAGATAATTCCCAATGACATGTATTTAAAAAGATTGTATAATTTTATGCTATTGAATTATTTAGTGAACATTCGAGACATTAACAATTCGATAGTAATTATTAATGCATTTGGCGTCTATCTAAACGAATATGAATTCCATGAAGAATACTCTAATCGTTTGACACAATATTTATTGGACGAGAATTTTATGATACAAACAAATATCACGTACGATAAGAATTTTAAGAGAATACTCTATGATCACATAATATGTAGCGTTGTTTTTGAAGAGTATGGCAATATCTATGGATTTTTAGCCGAAGCTTATAGAAGAGGAAGAGAAAATCAAACAATTGATCGTTTTCTCAATAATGCGAGAATATTGCTAAGCAGTATAAAAAAACAATTTCAATATTCAAGAGCAATGCTCAATGTGAACCTAGTGGAAAGAATATTTCATGGAATAATTATTCCCCTATTTCCAGGTTCTAGGGGAACTTTGATAAATTCATTGGATTTCATTTACGCTCAAGCTGGTTCAATTCTTTATAATTCGGCTTTGATGAAGTACAATTATTTCTTTGATCTTTCAATTGATGAGAAATCACCAAAATATTCCAGTCAACAGTACATTTTTGATGATTGCCTCGAAATTGGTTTGTCAGTTCAGCAATTAGTTATTTCTGGTGAAATTCCTAAGACAGCTTTAGAGATTTTTGTCCTACCGGCACTTTTAAATTATGTCCAGACTGAAAGGAAGAATCTCGAACACGAGTCTATAAGGACTATCATTTCTGATCAAAAACACTGGAATAAGGCTTTGGAACAATTATTTTTGAAAATGAAAAAAACATTGGAATTTGTCAACATTTTGGATGTTTTTGATCAAAAATACAAATACCACCTGGCTTTATTTCATTACGAAAATGAAACACAATTTGCAAAGAGAATGTTGTTGGAGAATTGTGAATTTCACGATAACGCTCGATTAGAAGAAGAAACAGTAAATTATGTAAATAATTCCAATTACACATGTTCTGAAAATAAAAAACTACTTCCCTTGGTTGAAGCTCTCAAGAACAGAGATCGAGAATTTCTTTATAAATATTATTTTCAAAGAAAGGCAATAAGTGACGATGTTGATAAAAATAGATCGGTAACATTAGCCAGAGGAAGATTGACAATTAATGGGGAAAGTTTCATTGTTTGTAATAATAAAGGATCGGAATCAAATTCCCAGCATGTGAATAAAACTGAACAAATTCGAAAATTAGGAGAAACTCACAAAGCAGGAAAGAATAGAAAAAACTTTCAACTCCGGAATGAAAGGAATGTTCTTGAAACTGAAAATTTAACGAGTATACTGGAGAAGGGAGAAAATAAAACGGAAATATTTATTTCGACATCAGAGAAAATTGAAAAGGAATTACCAAAATTGGAGTCAAGAAAAAATTATTGTTTCTCTTTGCTTTATGCATGCATTGCAGGGATCATTGAAGGGAATCGAATTAGTTCACCAAATAATTGTCCAATACGAGGAGCAATTCGATTTTATGATGTAACAAGATGGGATGCTATTACTGCACAATTAATAACATTTGACACTCGATTTAGATTATTCAAATTTGGAATTTCAATGAGGACAATAGCTCTAATAAATTCGATGCAAACGGCTTTTAAGGACAACAACAATCGGACAATGACCCCACAACATCTAACGAACAACATGATAAGTGATATTAAATTTCCAAAATTCCCAGCAATTGATGTTGGTTATGAGATTGGAAGTATTTTAGGCAGTGATGGTTTAAATGCTATAGAAAATTTGATAACAACGATTGAGAAAGACTTTTTTGTTTCATACTTACCTGCGACTCGGAACTACAGCATAAACTTTAGAAATTTCGGGTAATTTTAATTATTTTTTTTGTTAATTGAATTGCTTTACAGTAGAGGTAATTATTTTAAAAATTGTAATTGTATGACATTAAAAATTTGTTTTAGAGATGTATTTACATTTTATGGCCCAATCCATATTTTTGAAATGAGTAGATACGCAAATCTACTATCAAATCCTTCTTTCCCTGACCCTAAAGAATATTCTGATTCACTCTAAAAATTATTAGATACTGAAGAAAATGTTCTACTAAATATATTTACAAATTTCTTTAAAAATAAAGTTATTCGAAAACATCAATAGTTTTATTTAAAATAAATATTTAATCATTTCTTTTTCATTTCATTTCTACATTATTTGTATCATTTCAATTCAATTAACATTTTCTGGAATTTTTAACTAAAATTCTACTTTAAAATCAATAACATCAATTACTATTGATTATTCAATTAAACATTTTCAAAAAAATTAATTCTACAGAATTAGTTTTGAAAATTAATGAAAATAATTTAATTAATTAAATTAATTAATTTTAATTTCTTTATTATGAAAATAATTGAATTTTCACATAGAATTTTATTAAAATTTTTAAAACTAATTGAATTTCTGAGATTTTTAGATTTTTTTTTTTTTTTTTTTTTTTTTTTTTTTTTTTTAGTTAAAAGTACGAAAAATAATAAATTAATTCTACGAGAAATCAATTATTTAAATACAAAAATAAATAATATTGAATGTTTCTTAAAATTAAATTTTTTGGAACAAATTAACAACTTTTGAAAATATTTCATTTCCTTTAAGGAATTTAATTAAAATTTTCATGAAATTTATTATATTAAAGAATTTTATAACAAGTTTTGAAAATAATTATTGAAAACATTTTCAAGAATTTTATTAAATTTTTCAAAAATAATAAATTGAATTCCTGAGAAGAATTAAAATAATAATTTTTGAAAACAATTGAATTCATGAAAAGAATTTTATTAATATTTTTGAAAATAATTGACTTCTTGAGAAGAATTTTTAAAAAAATTGTTGACAATAATTTAATTCTTGAGAACAATTTCCCTGTCTATTTATAAAGATAATTTAATTCTTGACGAGAATTTCAAAAAAAAATTTGAAAATAATTCAATTTCTGCAAAGTATTTTAATTACTTTTCAAAAGAATTGAATTCTTCTGATGAATATTTTGATATTAATCAAAATAATTGAATTTTGGTAAAGACTTTTATTGAAATTCCTTAGAATAATTTATTTTATGGGAAGAATTATGTGAATAATTGAATTTTCACATAGAATTTTATTAAATTTTTTTAAACTAATTGAATTTCTGAGATTTTTATAATTTGTAAAAATAATTGAATTCTTAAGAATATTTTGATAAAAACTTTTTAAATAATTGAATTCCTTTAAAACTTTTATTATTTATGAAAATAATTGAATTTTTAAAACGAATATAATTAAAACTTTTCAACATAATTGAATTCCTGTAAAAATTTAATTATTTATGAAAGTAATTGAATTCTTGCATCAAATTTTATCAAAATTTTTAAAAATAATTGAATTTCTGAGAAGAATTTTATTAAATTTTTTTAAAATAATTGAATTTCTGAGAAGATTTTAAAAAAATTTTTGAAAATAATTTAATTTCTGCAAAGTATTTAATTACTTTTCAAAAGAATTGAATTCTTGTGATAAATTTTTGATATTTATCAAAATAATTGAATTTTGGAAAAAAATTTTATCAAAATTCCTTAGAACAATTGATTTTATGGGAAGAATTTATGCGATTTTGTTGTTTATCAAGTTAATTGAATTCTTCTGCAAAATTACTTGAAAATTTTTGAAAATGTTATTTATGAAAATATTTGAATTATTGCAACGAATTTTATTGTTTTATTTGAATAATTGAATGTTTCTTAAAATTGAATTCTTTCCTCAAGTTTTAATAAAATTTTTAATAAATAATAATTGCATTTTTCAAGGAATTTATTTAAAAAAAAAAAAAATTATTGAATTGTTGTTAAAAATTACTAAAATTTAAAAAGTTTGACATAAAAAAAAATTTGACATTATTATGTTTAGTTTAACAAAAACAGTTTTCTATAAACGCAATCGGTTTAACTGCATTTGAACAAATTCTTTTTCAAAGTTTCAACGAAACGCAAATAAACAGGTGAAAGAAATTACATTCTTCCTGATTTTTATATTTTTTATTTGAAATGTAAATTTCTTTTCAAATATAAATCGAAAGCTTCTTTAAAGTTTTTTTTTACCCTAAAAAAAGAATAAGTTGAATGTTTATTATTCTATAAATAAAATTTTCTTCATTAATATCAATAGAGAAGTTTTCATAAATATTATAGTGTTAAAAATTTTATTCTTTTAAAAATTTATTCGACAGAAATTATTCGATTCATGAAATTTTTTTTTTTTTTATTAAATTCATGAAATTGATATTGAAATCAGAAGTAAACTTTAAAAAGATTTTATTTCTTTTAATGATAAATATTCTTTTATTGTCAGTCGTTAAATATATCATTAGACAAAAAGATGCCAATAAATATCTAAAGATAAGAGAAAAATATTGTGTCGAGTATTATTGTCACGTATTTAAAAAAAATGTAGACTTTGTAAAATTCGCTCTTACTTTTAGTTTTAAAATAATGAAATCATTACAAAAAATAAGTTTTTCTCGACTTCTGTGTATTTTCACATTATTTTTAATTGGTGACGTAAACGGAAAGGATGATATTCAGGTAAAAGAAAATCCAGTTTTAAAAAATTTTCCATTAAATAAAAAAAAAAAAAAAAAAAATTACATAAATTTAACTTTTAGGAGGAAGGAAAGATTCTTTACGATTTAAAAAATATAACCGGCGACTATGCTTACAATATATCGACAAAAAATGTTATTTTTGCTGAAAATTTTTATTCAAACATTATGAATGGTACTTTTGGTGAATTTACAATAATTAACAAACTCTTCGAGTCCCTTATTTATAAACTTTCAATGTCGATTATGGTGAATAATTATTATAAAAGTACATTCGAAGCAACTACACTTAACGAAGCTGAATATTTTTCAGAAAGTGCAAAAGATATTTATCTTGAGTACAAAGAAAAAGAAATAATAAAACCATCATATATTCTCATAAATAACGAAAATTATTTAGAAGAAAATAAAAAAGTGAAATTTTTTCATTTTGTCAAAAATTGTTTTTTAAAAATAAATTCCATCACGTATGAAATAAAAAAATACGTCCAAAATTTCAATGAAATTGAAGCAAATAATTTTGACATTGAAAATATTTCGATGTCAATGACATCAAAATTAATGAATGAATTGTACATTCATCTAATGACTGTTCGAGATAAAAAATTAAATATCAATGAAGAGGATTTAAAAATTGTTGAATTTATTGAAAGAATTTTGCAGCACTTGGAAAATACTTTGAAGCAAAAAAGAAAATTTGTAAGAAATAATATTCTACTTTTATGAAATTCTACGTTTTCAAAATTTTTATTTTAACAATGATTTTGAATTTTTTTTTTTTATTTTTATAGAAAACTGAAAATATAGAGAGTATAGATTCTTCTGGGAGTAATGAAAATTTCTCGAGTTTGAGAAATTACGTAAAACCTGTTGTTGAAGAGGTAAATAGAAATTTATTTCTAATACGAAAATATTATTATCGCAAATAATTTTATTATTAAATTTAAAATCACTTAATTTTGATTTTATTAACAGGAGGAAATAATGAAAAGTCCAATAAAAAATATCATTGAAATTAGTAAAATTTATAAAGAAACTTGTCGAATAGTTTATAATTTAGTGACACAATTAAGGAATTCAGTGAAATTTTCAAAAAATCAAGACAATTACTTAAATATATCTGCAGCAAGCCTAGAAATTTTTTTTACTTCAACAAAAAATTTTGTTCAAATTTTAAAAAATTCTACCACAAAAAGCATCAATGATGACTATCAGAAAAATATTGAAACCGGATTTCTTAAAATTGTCAATACTTATAATGATTATATGGAGAATTTTATTAGTTATGACAACGAAGTAACGCTAACCAGTAAAAGGACTAATGTTATGAAAATTTTACACAATTTATCGGCACTTTTGAAAAAATTTAGTGAAATTACGGATAAAATCATTAATACATTCAGAACATTAAAGGAATCGCATTACACATTTTCCATAGAAAGTACAAAGAGATTTGCAATTTTTATTTATAATTCGACAAACGAATTATTCAATATCATCGAAAGGAATAAAGAAACAGACTTTGAAATTTTTTATGAAATGCAAAATCTACAGAAGATTGTAAATAAATTTACAGAAACGGTAAGTTTAAAAAAAATTTTTTTTCAATAAAATTTTTTTTATTAAAAATGAAAATATATTTTTCAGGAGAATCGGAGAAGAGAACTGTATGAAAGTAGAATTCCAATTGGTCAATATACTTTAAATATTATCAACTATGCGGCTTATTTAATGGAAAAATTCTACTCAAACATTAAATGCACTTCAAACAATTCAGAATTAAGAAAATTATTTCATTCAATTCTTTTAGAAATGAAAAATTCAATAATAGTGATTAACAACTATAAATTAATTCTATCAACTGACAATGAACGACAAGCAAAATATATTGCAAAGGAGACAAAAAATTTTGTCCAAATGACTATTGAAAATGAACAATTTGAATCGTGTCATAATAATGCTTTGAATTTGAATAATAATTTGAATTATACTTCAAAAAATTTCATTCAAATTCAATTCTTCCATGATGTGGTGAATTTTTTCTCAACTGCTAAAATTATTATCGAAAAAACGAAGAATAATGTGGAGAATTATTTGGGATTGACTGAAGATATTCTTCATTATGAAAGTTTATGTTTGTCAATTGTCTCTTTTGTATTAAGTGAATTCCGTACATTTCTGGAAACAATTGAAGCAATTGAAACAATTGACCTTAACGAATTTGATATTTCTGAAAATAATATCAAAGTAGTTAAATTCATGAATGATGTTTTGCAACTAAATCAAAAATGACTTATTTTAAGAACACAATCCACAAAGAAATAGAAATTTTGGATTTAATTAAAATATGTAAGATCAAAAAAAAAATAAATAGAACTTTTTTTCATATTTGTGTTTCAAAGAGATCCAATAAAATTTCATGTTTTAATCCTGATAATAACAATATTTTGACAAATAACGTCAGTCGACAGGGAGCAAGAGGTTTAAACGAAACATTATCTACACATCGAATTTAATTATTTTTGTTAGAACGATTTTTTATTGTACATATTCATTATCAGAAAACTAAATTGAAAGCTTTGAAATTGAACAGATTTAATTAAAAATTTAAAATATATAAGAGCCAACAATTTGTTTAAGAAAGTATATTCAACTTTTTCCCAAACTCAGACAATTTATCTTTAACATTTTTTCCCCAACTTGCAACATCATGAGCTGTTTTTTCCGTCCATTGTGAAACATCATTTCCTGCACTTTTCATCCATTTTGTAACATCCTTTCCTGTATTTTGCGTCCATTGTGAAACATCATTTCCTGCATTTTTCACCCATTTTGTAACATCCTTTCCTGCATTTTGCGTCCATTGTGAAACATTATTTCCTGCACTTCCTTCCAACTTAGAAGCATTCATATCTCTTTCCTTTGCAGGCTCAAAATCTACAGTGACATTTGCAGTAGCTGAAGACTTTACAGGTATAGTGATGTTTGACTTGTAAAGAAAAAAAATGTAAATTGAAAAATAAAATTTCAAAAACAAGATAAATATTCAAATCTTATTCAAAGATCGACTTTTTCCCAAAATTTTTTTTTTTTTTTTATTAAGAAATGTGTAGGGCTTAGTCTCTACTGGAACTCATGTAATTTTCAGACGATTAGAATTTTCAAAATTTGGAAGAAATAAATTTTTAATGACTTTCTTCGAAAATTTTGGGTGTACTCATAAGTTTCGAGAAATTGTAACTTAATCTAATAAATAAAATAAATAAATACATGGAGAATTTAAAAATAGTAATATTTACCTCAAGCGAATAAATCAGTGGAGCATTGAGCACAACAAGCATAATAAGGACGTGAATCATTTTCTTATAAAACAATAAATTATGCCCGCACTTATTGAATTAGTTTTATAAAATGTTTCTTTTTTTTTGATGCCACGTATTGAAAACAGAATATGCCACGCAGAAATAATGCTTTATCTTGCTTTCCCAAGTTAACAACCGAAATTTTATAGTACATTGGTAAAATCGCAGAATTTCATGTTCAGTATGCCAATAAAAGTATTACAACTCTATCGAGTATACTTTATGAAAAAAAGTTGTTTGAAATATTATTATTTGCAATTTTATCATTATTTTTTTAGTCCAGAGTTAAAATATAAAAATTAAGACATATTTGATCCGCCATTTTGAATTTTGTAAATCTAAGAGGCACATGATTATTCCCCAAATGGCATTTTACCGAACTGTCATTTTAACGAATTGTCACTTTTGCGAAAAGTCATTTTTGCGAAATATCATTTTTACGAATTGTCATTTTTACGAACTGACATTTTTTCGAATTGTCATTTTTACGAAATATCATTTTTGCGAATTGACATTTTTACGAATTGCCACTTTTGCGAAAAGTCATTTTTGCGAAATATCATTTTTACGAATTGTCATTTTTACGAACTGCCATTTTTTCGAATTGTCATTTTTACGAAATATCATTTTTGCGAATTGACATTTTTACGAATTGCCACTTTTGCGAAAAGTCATTTTTGCGAATTCACATTTATTGGAACTGCCATTTTTTCGAATTGTCATTTTTACGAAATATCATTTTTTGCGAATTGACATTTTTACGAATTGTCACTTTTGCGAAAAGTCATTTTTGCGAATTGTCATTTATTGGAACTGACATTTTTTCGAATTGTCATTTTAACGAATTGTCACTTTTGTGAATTACTGTTTTTACGAATTGTCACTTTTGCGAAAAGTCATTTTTGCGAATTGTCTTTTTTACGAATTGTCATTTATGCGAACTGTCATTTTTTCAAATTGTCATTTTCACGAAATGTCACTGTTGCAAATTGTCATTTATGAGAAAATTGCTATAGTAAACTTGTATGCATATATAGATTTACAATAGCAATTTTTGAAAAAATGACAATTCGCAACAGTGACATTTCATAACAAATGACAATTTGAAAAAATGACAATTCGGAAAAATGACAATTCGAAAAAATGACTTTTCGCAAAAGTGGCAATTCGTAAAAATGGCAATTTGCAAAAATGACATTTCGTAAAAATGGAAATTCGAAAAAATGACATTTCGGAACAATAACGATTTGTAAGAATGACAATTAGTGAAAATTATATTTCGAAAAAATGACTTTTCGGAAAAGTGTCAATTCGTAAAAATGGTGATTCACAAAAGTGACATTTCGTAAAAATGCCAATTCGTAAAAATGATAATTCGAAAAAATGTCAGTTCGCATAAATGACAATTCGAAAAAATGACTTTTCGCAAAAGTGACAATTCGTAAAAATGTCGATTCGCAAAAATGACAATTCGCAAAAATCACATTTCGGAACAATAACTATTCGTAAAAATGACTTTTCGCCAAAGTGACAATTCGTAAAATTGTCGATTTACAAAAGTGACATTTCGTAAAAATGACAATTCGAAAAAATGACAGTTCGGAACAATAACGATTTGTAGAAATGACAATTAGTAAAAATTATATTTCGCAAAAATGACTTTTCGCATAAGTGGCAATTCGTAAAAATGGCGTTTCGCAAAAATGACATTTCGGAACAATAACTATTCGTAAAAATGACTTTTCGCCAAAGTGACAATTCGTAAAATTGTCGATTTACAAAAGTGACATTTCGTAAAAATGACAATTCGAAAAAATGACATTTCGGAACAATAACGATTTGTAGGAATGACAATTAGTAAAAATTATATTTCGCAAAAATGACTTTTCGCAAAAGTGGCAATTCGTAAAAATGACGTTTCGCAAAAGTGACATTTCGTTAAAATAACTGCTCGGATAAATGCAATTCGGTAAAATGACAGTTCGGTCAAATGACATTTGGGGAATTGTTGAAAATCTGTCCACCATATTGGATCCACCATTTTGTATTTTGTAAATGTGACATCGAATTCGTAATTAGCGACCCGAAAAACCCCAGTTTAACGAATTTCAAGCAATTTTTAGAATATTTTGTCTTTTTTCCACGAAACAGACGTGACAACTGCGAAATTATTATAATTATTTTAATTATTACTTTTTCAAAATTATACAAGAATGTTAATAAAAAATATTTATAGATTCGCTATTAAAAAAAGGGGGTAAAATGGTTTTTATTCCCAGACCTGAAAAAAATTCTTTTTTATAAATTTTATCATTGGAAAACTTTAATTTCAAGTATAATTATTAATAGAAGGTTATATAAACATTAATATTAATTAATGTGCACGTTTTTTGACATATGTCATATTATAATAACGAAATTCGAAATATTGGTAAGACAAATGTTGATTCACTATTAGAATAGAATAAAAACGAATATGTATAACAATTGCAAAACAATTTTTTTCTTATCTGCTAGTATAAATATGACATATATATTATATATATATTTAAAGTACTAATATAACTACTCGTGCTGAAAACTATTTTTTAAAAATGAAAAAATATTCTTAAAAATTATATTTTGAAGTCAATAAATTTAATTCTAATTGGTTGTTTCAGTTTATTCTGTGAGTACTTCTACTCTATTCTCATTTTAGTAATAAATTATCGTTTAGGAATTTTAAAAGCCATTAATTATAGTATAAAAGTATTCTGAATTTTTTTTTCGTTGTTCTTTTAACAAAATCAGAAATTAGTGACTATAGTAGATTTAAGAACACTAGTAACATTTTTTACCTTTTTAAAAATATTTTTACTTTATTGTTTGACTACTCTTTACATCCGTTTTTGTTTATTTTATAATTACAGTTTTGTTTTATATTAGAATAATTTTTTCAAAATAGAATATTTTTTTAGTTTCTTCTCATATTATTTTTTTTTAGTATTTATAGATTTTGCCAACGAGTAGGAGTAAAATTTCCCTTAAGGTTTTAGTGTTACCCTAGGGGGGGTAAAAAAAAAAATTCGAAAATATTTGAAAAGGGTTAAAAATTTTTTTTTTTCAGTGAAAAGTTTCGTACCAAGATTAACAATGGAGACTTTTACATTTGCGACTCCGATGGATACGATACAAATGATATCCGTTTACACGTATGTCACTCGAATTGGACGTTATTTAGGTGCCATAAATCAATTAGTTGGTCCCAGACTCAGTCAATTTGCGATATTAAATTCATTTAATGCATTCTTTTGGGAAGATGAGGAGACCCACTATGATGATCGTATGGATCTAATTCGAAAAATCATAGCTGGCAGTGATTTATATGGTGAATATTCATATGAAAATCTAGATCCAGATTATATTTCACTAATGTTCGACTATATTGTCTATTCGACGGTTTTTAAAAAATTCGGTAATATCTACGGATTTTTGGGTGAAATCGTACGCTCATCGAATACACTGAACATTAATACTATTCTAAATAAAGCACATGGAACTTTGAAGAATTTAACACTGAACAATAATGATAAAGTTGAACTCGATGATGATTTATTTCTAAAAATATTCAATGGAACATTATTACCACTATTTCCGAAAACAAAAAAATATCTAACATTGGATTCGGTGAATTTTATCTACGCGCAGGCTGGTTGGACGTTGTACAATAATCCTGATATAATAATGGAAAAACGAAGTTATTTTTTTAATTTAAATTCAATAACTAAGGATATTGCTAGTGGTGATGATTATGTGTTTGATGATTGTGTTGAAATTGGAGTTGCAATTGAGCAATTGGTCATTGAGGGTGATGTTGAGAAGGAGGCTTTACAAATTTTCGCCCTTCCGGCATTTTTACTATATGTTCATCATTCAAAGGAGGAATTAAAAAATTTGAATATGAAAGATATTGTCAATAGTCGGGAACATTGGAAGAAAGCTTATGATCAACTATTCGATCATTTACGAAATCGAATTGTTGGTGTACAACAAGCACTTGATATTGATCCGAATTTTCAATACTATTTGGCAGCATTTGACTTTTACGATCGTAGAGCACTTGCCGGTAAGGAAATCGTTATAAATTGTGGATCAAAGTACGTGGAACGTTTGGAAGTGGAAGTCGATATTTTTATGAACAATTCGGCTAATTATACCTGTTTTAATAATGCTGGGGAAGAAAGATTATTATTTGATTTAGATAAAGTTTATTATCAGAAATTTTCGGAATTTTTGATTAAATACTATCGTCACGTTAAGGATGTGCAGTTCAGTGAAGTTAATGATTCATTAGAAGAGAAATGGAGAAATAATACTGATGATGCTACAAATAATGATTTTTTGAATAATGATGATTCTTTATACAACAGTGAGGATATTTTGAACAAAAATGATTCACTTTCTGTTGATAAAAATATCACCCGAGATTTTAGTCTGATGTCAATGAAAGTAAACGGAAAAATCTTTACCTTCTGCAATAAATCATCGTCAACGATTTTCAATAGTAATTTTTTAAATACATTTCCCCTAACTAGGGAAAAGCTGGTAAATTTTGAGAAACTTTACACCGAAGCACGAGGCAAACGAAAACATTGCTTATCATCATTTCTACCATGCTTAGCGGGTCTTATTCAAGGAAATCCACAAAGTTCCTCAAACAATTGTCCCGTGAATGGTACATTCATTTTTCAAAAATTACAAATTCCGTTCATTCTTCATCAATTTATAACACCTTCAACTCGAACACTACTAAATCAATTTGGCATTACTTTGAGAACATTTGCCCTGAAACGATCAATGCTAACTGCGTTGTTAAAAGAAAAATTTCTTTGGCAACAACCTGAGAGTATGAAATTTGTTCGAAACTTAACAATAAGCATACCTAGATTTCCAGTTATTGATCGTGGTTTTGATATTGTTAATTCAATGAACGTTAGAGGTTTAGAAGCAATGAATGATTTATTGCACAAAATTGAGACGCATTTTTTCATTTCGTACGAATCGTTGTCACGTAATTTTACTGTAAAGACACAAATTGTGAACAGAACGGCCGATGAAGTTAGTGTGGTAAATAATTTTAAAGTGTACCTCAAAAGATTTTATGGTAAACCAAGTACTTATTATGGTTTTAGATTTATTCTTACCTACGGTAATAAATTAGCTGAACTCAGAACTGTTGGAACTAAACAGGCATTTGTTCAATTAGTCAATGTTACGGAGGAAAATCGAGATGTTTATCAAAAATTTAATACTACTAATAGGGAACTATATGGTAATTTATTTTATCATACAAGAGAGGGAACGTTAAACAGAAAGAAAAATTAAAGATTCAACGTAGATTCTAAAAAAAAATTAGAAATATTTTTTTTTGTTTATAACACGATAGCTCGTTTCCTATTCAATTACAAATAAGAATCATGTTTATAAATAAAGTTCAGTAATTTTTAAGTATTAATAAGATTTCAGTTCAATATTATTACTTAAAATTTTAAAAAAGAAAATTTTTATCCACGTACGTAAAAGTGTAAACATTTTTTAATTATATTGTCTTGTGAAATATAAAAAAATTTACAAAACTTTTTTGGTACAACTGTTATTTATCATTTCAAATATCTCCAGTTTACAATAAAAATTTTAACTATTTTATATTAATTAATTGAAAAATTTTAATTATTTTTACAAATAAAATTTTTCACAAGAATTCAATTATATTTAAAATATAATTTTCATAATATTTATTATATTTCAAGAAAATTATTATTTAAAACAATGTTTATGAATTCAATTATTTTCCAAAAAATAACAAAATTTTCCATTGGAATTCAATTCTTTTTTAAATATTTTAATAAAATTTTTCGCAATATTCAATTATTTTTTAAAATTTTAATAAAATTCTAAGCAAGAATTCCATTATTTTAATAAATAACAAAATTCATCGCAGGATTTCAAGTATTTTTAATACAATTTTACAGGAATTGCTCGAAAAATGTAATTATGCTGAAAAATTTAATTTCAATTCCTCGAAAAAATCAATTATTTAAAAAAAAATGTTTTTCTAAAATTCTTCGGCAAAATTCAATTATTTACAAAAATATTAGAATTTTTTACAGGAATTCAGTATTTTCAAATATTGTAATAAAATTATTCGAAGGAAATCAATTATTTTATATACAATTTGTAATAAAAACTTTTGAAAATTTTTTAAAAGAATTCAATTATTTTTTTAGAATTTAATAAAATTCTTTCCAAGAATTCAATTATGTCGGTAAATAACAAAATTATTTCCAAAAATTCAATTATTCTGAGGCGTTTTAATAAAATTCCTTGCAAAATTCAATTGTTTTCATAAATAACAATATTCATCAAAAGAATTCAATTATTTTTAAATGTAATAAATTTTTTCTTGGAAATTCAATTATTTTAAAAAATTCAAATAAAACCGTCAGCAAAAATTCAATTATTTTCAAAAATAACAAAATATTTCACAGAAATTCAATTCTTTTTAAAAAGTTGAATAAATTTTTTCGTAATAATTCAATTAGTTTCAAAAATAATAAAATTCTTCTCAGGAATTCAATTAATTTTGAAAAATTTTCATAAAATTCTTTGCAACTGTTCAACTATTTTCGTAAATAATAAAATTCATCGAAGGATATATTTCATTTATTTTTAACATAATTTCACAGGAATTGCTCGAAAAATGTAATTGTTGAAGAAAATTTCATTTCAATTCCTCGAAAAAATTAATTGTTTAAAAAAATATTAAAAGTTTTAACAGGAATTCAATTATGTTTAAATATTTTAATAAAATTAAAAAAATCAATTATTTAAATACAATTTTAATTACATTTATTTAAAATAATTCAATTATTCTTTTGGATTTTAATAAAATTCTTCCCTAGAATTTAATTATTCACATAAATTATTCTTCGAAGGAATTCAATTATTAAAGATAAATAACAAAATTATTTCCGAAAATTCAATTATTTTGCGGCATTTTAATAAAATTTTTTGCAAAATTCAATTATTTTTATAAATAACAATATTCTTTACTATAATACAGTTATTTTCGCACTAATAATGACATTTTTCTTGGAAATTCAATTATTTTAAAACATTCTAACAAAATTTTTCGCAAGAATTCAATTATTTTCATAAATAATAAAATTCTTTTTAGGAATTCAATTATTTTCAAAAAAATTTAATAAAATTTCACACAGAGATTCAATTATTCTCAAAAATTTTTAATTTTTAATAGAATTTTTTGTAAAATTTAACTATTTTTAAAAACTTTTCTCAATTCAATAATTTCCAATATCTACTATTTTATAAAATTTCCAAACCGAATTCAATTATTTAAAAATTTTTTTGTAAAAATCTTCGTAAGAATTCAATTCTTTTTGCATGAATAATAAAAATTTCTCAGGAATTCAATTATTTAAATTCGAATTTGCATAAAATTAGTCGAAAAAAATCAATTATTTAAAATTTTTTATAAAATTTATTGCAAGAATTAAATTATTTTTATAAATATTTAAATTCTTTCATGAATAAAAAAATTCGTCGCAGGAATTCAATAATTATTAGCATCAGGATGAGAAAGAAGTAAATATTTTTGATGAAAATTAGGAAAAAGTCAGGAAAATAAAATATAGAATGGAATTCTTGTCAGTTTTGTCAAGTGTCTAAAACGAGTTTTTTTGCTCGTCAAGTTTAATTTTTCGATAGCTGCTTCTTTACTACATTTTTTAGTTTAAAAGCTACTATTTGATACTTTTTTAAAACTAATTATCGAGTGCGAAGTCTTATATTCAGAAAAATTAAGATTAAAAAATGTAATTTTTAATCTAAACTTTGTATGTTTTTTAACAAAAAATAAATATTTAATACTATTTTGTATATTTATTATTAAATTTATAATATATAATATTTTAAATTTTAAAATGAAAATCAGTAGTATTTTATTTTTTCCTCAAATATTGAAATAAAAAATGTTTTCATTATCTTTATTTCTCTTTGATATATATACTAACTTTGTTTTTCTTTATTTCCAACTTATCAATTAAGTCTGTAATTATAAAAACTTTGTTTATTTCTTTTTCAACTATTATTATGTCTTGGTTTTTGTGCAAATGTTTGTAAATTCCGCTATTCTTATCAGCGGGAAAAATTGATGAAAAATTAAATTTTCTTTCCTATAAAATTGTTTAATTAAAGATACAACAATGTATAAAAGCTCATGCAAAATTTACCTAAAAAACATTATTCTTAAAGTACACCGAAAATGAATAAAATGAATTGTCAAATATTTACAATCTTGTTGGGATTTTTCATTATTTTCTTTCTAACTTCAGTACAAGGATGTTCATTGCCTGGCGGACCTTGTGATCGAAATCGTGATTGTTGCCTTCAAAAAATATGTTTTCTTCGTAAGTGTATTTCTTTATTATTCTTTTATTTTTCAAATTTTCTTTTGCATACAAAAATTATTAAAAGTATTCAGTGATAAAGTTAACTTCTAACATGAAGAAGCGCAAAGAATGAATTAATAGAATTAACAGAAATTATACTTTGAAAAAAATTGTTAAGAAAAAAGGGATTTTTAGTTTTACAATTAAAAAAATTTCTTATTTCTAAAAAAAACATTGGTTTTGTTTGTAGGTCCTGGGCGACGAGGATATTGTGGCACCTCTGCTTAATGAATAAAGAAACCAAAGGTTATGAAATATATGAAACATTCTTTGTAAGAGTTTAAAGAAATAAATATTAATTATTATTATCTAATAATTATTTTTTAAAAGTTAAAACTAAAAACCTCCGAGTAACAAGTTTCAAGGAAATCCATTAAAATTTTATGTTTTAATCCTATATTGTTCTAAACTTATTTTGACCAATAATGACAGTCGACAGGGGACAAGAAGTTTAAACGAAACATTATCTACACTTTGAATTTAATTATTTTATTTAGAACGATTTTTTATTGTACATTCATTATTAGAAAACTAATTGAAAGCTTCGAAATTGCACAGAATTAATTAAAATATATAAGAGCCAACAATTTGTTTAACCAAAATTTAAATAATTTCCAAAGTCACCCAATTTATTTTTAACATTTTCTCCCCAATTTACAACATCCTTTCCTGCATTTTCTCCCCAATTTGCAACATCCTTTCCTGCATTTTCTCCCCAATTTACAACATCCTTTCCTGCATTTTCTCCCCAATTTGCAACATCCTTTCCTGCATTTTCTCCCCAATTTGCAACATCCTTTCCTGCATTTTCTCCCCAATTTACAACATCCTTTCCTGCATTTTCTCCCCAATTTACAACATCATTTCCTGCATTTTCTCCCCAATTTGCAACATCCTTTCCTGCATTTTCTCCCCAATTTACAACATCCTTTCCTGCATTTTCTCCCCAATTTGCAACATCCTTTCCTGCATTTTCTCCCCAATTTGCAACATCCTTTCCTGCATTTTCTCCCCAATTTGCAACATCCTTTCCTGCATTTTCTCCCCAATTTACAACATCCTTTCCTGCATTTTCTCCCCAATTTGCAACATCCTTTCCTGCATTTTCTCCCCAATTTACAACATCCTTTCCTGCATTTTCTCCCCAATTTACAACATCCTTTCCTGCATTTTCTCCCCAATTTACAACATCATTTCCTGTATTTTCTCCCCAATTTGCAACATCCTTTCCTGCATTTTCTCCCACTTTAGAAGGATACTCTTTTATAGCAGTTTTCAAAGCTTTATCACCAGAATTTGCACCATGGTTCCAAAAAGAATTATCATCATATTTAATTTCTCCGATATTCGAAAAATTCTCTTTTTCATAATCATCCGAATTTCTATTAACCTCTTTCGCAGGCTCATCATCTAATGAAATAAAATTGATATTTAACTTTAATTTTATTTGAAAAGTTTTTATGGTAACTTTTATTTAATTACTGACCATTTGGTTTTTTCGTATCTCTTTTCCAACTTTCATCTTCATCATGTGCATAATGCTTCGAAAAAGAATCATTATTTGCTGCATTTCCTCCCAGAATATTTGAAACATTCTTTTCTGTTGTTAAATCATCAGAACTTATTTTAATAGTAGATATAACAGGATCGGTATCTTGGACACATGTCATATTTTTACAGAACTAAAAAATTTAAAACATCTTTCATACATTTTAAACTTAAGTTTAAAGAAAAATAAAAGTTATTTAAATGTTTATTGAAAATTAAATTTTTAAATGTTTCTTACGCCATTAGCATTGCACAAGGTTCCAAGTTGGGCTTCTATTTTTCGTACTCTAATTTTGCCTTTATTGTTTCTAAACTCACAATGAACTAAACATGAATCGAAGTATGACTAAAACAAAATTAAGGAACTTTTTATTCTCGCCCAACCTTTGAGTTTGCCTCTTCTCTTCAATACAATCATTATTATTAACATTATAGTGTATTTCTAAAGAAAATTGTACGGTTGTAAAATATTCCAGAATCATTATTATTATAATTAACTTACAGAAAGAATATTTTTCATTTTTCTTTCCTTGCATTGTGTTTCAGCAGATTTATTAGTTCCAGGCATGTGAAACCTTGGAAATAGTAATTTTGTACCTGAGTTATCGGCATTTTTGTCAAATTCTACAACTACACAGTCTCTCTGAAGGCAGTACTATAATTGAAAACAAATATTAATTAACCTTATGTTACACTTTAGTTGTAATATTAATTAAAATTTTATTAATAAGTATTCAATTTATATAAATTTCTACTTTTCAATGAATTTGTTATTTAGTCTTTCAAATTTGTTATACTTTATTTATAGCACAAGGTGTTCCTTCCAATACTGCCTTTGATGTAACCTCATAATTATAGCTGTTATAGCATTTTATACTTTTGCAAATATTTACAGTCACCTAAAATTAATAAAAAGAATTGATTTATATAGAGTTTTACAGAATTGTAGAGTACTATAGAGTAGTCTTTGGATAAAAAATACAAAATTTTAAGTAACGGAAAAACGTACTGCAGACGCTTTTTCATATCCTAATTTTTGACACTGTTCATTGTATGTTACATATTTTCCAGGTAAAACTCTCAGCAATTGTTTATCAGTTCTATTTACAGCTGGATTATTAAACAGGCAACTGGCATCTTTTGAACTAATACAAAATTTTAATATATTATAATCAATGTTTGTCTAGTTTATAAAGTCTTAAAAAGCTAATCTTTAGTATTAAAAATTAATTCCATTAGCATGTGAATGCAAAAGGAGTACAAAACCTTAAGAAATACGACATCATTTCTTTCGAGCACTGAGAAAAGGGATATGTACCAAAGTCCTTTATCATACAACTTTTTTTCCATGGTCTAGTCGATTTTAAAGCTTCATCATCACCTTCATAAAAAGCTCCAAATCTAGTGAAATAAAATTGCATTTGAATCCTATGCTGGTAATTTTTATTCAATTCGACCTGACCACTAGGATCCATAACGAAAATTTAAATATTAAAAAAGGACGTTCCCAACCCAGGTGGAAAAGTTAACGTTAGCTAATGCTACTAACGTTAGACTAACGTTAGGCTAACGACATTTTTTGACCACTGATATCAGATTAGTTAACATTAGTCTAACGTTAGTCTAACGTTAGTTAACGTTAGTCTAACGTTGGTAGCATTAGCTAACGTTAACTTTTCCACCTGGGTATCAACTGCAATAAAGTAGTTACAGATTAGCCAATTCATGTACAGCCACTTCAATTCCAGACATTGCAGTATTATCCGTGACAATTGCTGTGGATGTCACTCCTAGACACTTAGCAGACTTTTCACAAATACGCTTTTCATATGAGATTCCTAGAATGTTTCTTTCTTTATGTTATACCATAACGGAAAAAAAAAAAAAAAAAAAAAAAAAAAAAAAAAAAAAAAAAAAGTTACAAACCTTGAATGGAATCATCATTTATAGACACATTCCTGTTGTAATTTGTACCCAATAAAACAGCAAAATCGTAGTGTTCTTTCAATTCAAACTGATCAGTAGTATTATACATGAATCGAGCAAAGTTTAATAAGCTTGTACCTTCTATTACGAAATTATTCATCGGTATAACTTGGTCCTTTAAATAAAGAATTTAGTAGCTAATAAAAATAATATTTTTTCGTTTTGTCTAATTGATAAATTTTTCATGATAAGAAACAAAGTACCTGACACAAAATAATTCCAGCAATGTTCAAACGAACTAAAGGTTTTTCCAAATCTCTAAATTCCAGATCAACTCCGTTCCAAAAATTTAGTGTGTAAGCAACAGTTTTGGCAATATCGTTATTAAAATGTCTGAAAAAATTTATTATGTTATAATAAAAAATTTAATATTTGAATATGGAATAAGGAAATTATTGAAGTATATACTCAAATAGAGTTTTGTCTACATAGACTAATATTTCTGGATACACTATTTCTGGTGCTTCTGAAGACTGGTCATCTGTCGTGGCATTGGGTTTATCAGAAACATGTAAGTTATTCTCGTTGGATAGTTCGGTTATTTCTCGTTTGGAAAGTACGTGATGATTCTTGAAATTGTTGTTTGCAGATTTCTTTCGTGATTTTGGTGAAACATCACGAGTATAACGATTTTTATTCTGTAACCGACGTAATGCATTGTTACAGTCAATGAATAATAAAACTCTGAATAAAGTAGATCATAGTATACTTAAAGCATATTTTTACTGAACTTTATTTCACTTACTAACTACTTTATATAACTTAATGTTATCAAAGTTAAACAATTACATCTGCGCAATCTTAATAAGAATTATTATAAAATCTGTTAAAGAAATTATTAATCTAAAGGAAGTGATTAAATTATGATTTCAGTACTTGATTTCAAACACCTAGGTAATACTTACAAACTTCGAATTTCCCTCATCATTTTCTTTACTCTTTTTAGGTGCTATTTCATAAAGATGAAAGCTGGCATTCACTGCTTCCATAACCTGCATTAAACATTATTTTAAATAATGAAATGAAAATAAAATCATATATTTTAACTGTATTGATGTTAGAAAAATTAAAATAACTATGTATCTTATGCTTACATCGTTTTGTAAAGTATATTCAAATGTATTCCCATTTTTCTTAGCTAACCATACTTTTGTATCTTTTCCAGCAAAGAAACCTTTTGCTGATTGTAAAGTGAATTTTCTGTCAATGTTGTCAATACTTATATTAATTGCCAGTTCAGTAATACTCTCCTCAAGCTGTCGAAAAATGTTGTCAACACATCAAAATAAATTCTAATTTACACCCATTTCTCTTTACTAAGGTTTCTTAAAATATTTACTAACAAATATTTTATATATGCTTTGGAAACAAAATATTATATTACAAATATTTTATTGTCAAGGAAACAAAATAATTGCATTTAATTACACAGATGTAAAGAAGATTTTTAGAAGTAAGAATTTAAAATAGTAATATTTACCTCAAGTGAATAAATCAATGGAGCATTGAGCACAACAAGTATAATGAGAACGTGAATCATTTTCTTATAAAACAATAAATTATGTCCGCACTTATTGAAATTGTTTTATAAAATGTTTCTATTTGATGCCACGTATTGAAAACTAAATATGCCACGTAGAAATAATGCTTTATCTTGCCTTCTAAAGTTAACATCCGAGATTTTTTTAGTACTTTTAAAATATCGCAGAATTTTATGTTCAGAAAGCCATTAAAATTATTACGAGTGTATCGAATATATTTAATGAAAAAAAGTTGTGTGTAATATTATTATTTTTTTAGTCCAGAGGGGAAAATTAAAAAATTCCATTATCCTAAGGAATTACATACTCTTAATTAATATGATGACAAACATTTTATGTTATTTGCCCTTTTACAGAAAAGAAGGGGAAAAAAAGGGTTACCCAGGGTTCGAGATGCATAATTCCGGCAGATAGTGTTTTTATTAGATTATATTTTTTCAACTTTACAATGATGAACCTGACATACAAAATAATTATGTTTATTTCCCTTTGTTATAAGTCTTTATTTCGAACTTATCAAACAAGGTCTATAATTATAAAAAATTTGTTTATTTCCTTTTCAACTTCTTACGTCTTGGTTTTTGTTCAAATATTAGTTAATTCCACCTTATCAGAGGGAAAAATGATGGGCATTCATTTTTTTTCCTCTAAAATTGTTTAATTAAAGATACAACAAAGTATAAAAGCTCATGCAAAGTTTGCTTAAAAAACATTATTCTTAAAAATTAAAATACAATAATGAAAATGAGTGTAATGAATTGTCAAATATTTATAATCTTTTTGGCATTTTGCATTATTTTGTTTCTAACTTCAGTACAAGGCCAAGGATGTTCATTGCCTGGCCAACCTTGTGATCGAAATCGTGATTGTTGCCTTCAAAAAATATGTTTTCTTCGTAAGTGTATTTCTTTATTATTCTTTTATTTTTCAAATTTTCTTTTGTATACAAAAATTATTAAAAGTATTCAGTGATAAAGTTAACTTCTAACATGAAGAAGCGCAAAGAATGAATTAATAGAATTAACAGAAATTATACTTTGAAAAAAATTGTTAAGAAAAAAAAGGGATTTTTAGTTTTACAATTAAAAGAATTTCTTATTTCTAAAAGAAACATTGGTTTTGTTTGTAGGTCCTGGGCGACGAGGATATTGTGGCACCTCTGCTTAATGAATAAAGAAAAAAATGTTTACGAAATATATGAAACATTCTTTGTAAGAGTTTGAAGAAATAAATATTAATAATTACTAACTCATAATTCTTTTTTAAAAGTTAAAACTCGTAAACACATTATGTTTATTACAATTTTATACGGAAAAGAGTATGTGCTGAATTTAACATTTTCTGTACTTATGATATTGTGTTAATTATTATTGACATTAATGCTTCTTATTTAGTTTTTGGTATTTGGAAATTCAAAAATGTTTTTAAAGCTTTAGAATTGTTATTGGGCCAGAAATTTTTTTTTGAATTTTTGACTGGAATTTCATAAGTATTTACCTGGAATGTACATTTATTTAGAAGTTGTATTACTGTTTTTCTTCCACTAAATTGTTTTGACAAAATTTTTATTTAATTTACATTAAAGTTTTTTTAATATCATTTTTCGCGCAAGGAAAAAAAAATTTATCTGCCGATGGTAAATAATTTTTATGTCATTTTATTTTATTAGTCACTGTTTTCTTCAGTGGGTAACTAACCGCCTTCAATGGTAAGGCATGAAAACTGTTTTATCGCAGGATTTTACCTTTACCTACCCTGTGAGATGTTAATTACGTTTTAGTCATTTGCGACTAGGTGGCATCAGGAGAACTAAATAATTTCCTTTAAAAATTATGATGTTACGTTAATTATGCTTCAAACGTATATTAGATTCTATTGAAAAAATAGTTTCAAAATATTTAAAAACTGTTTATTAATGTTTAAAAGATGAAATACAGATTTACAATGTACCAGCGAATACATTTCATCTTATTTAATTTATTTTTTAAATCAGTTTATCTGAAAAGCAACTTACAAAGTTACTTTATTGTTAGCAAAGCTGTGTTATCAATTTTGATGTATTGATTACTTTTTTTTTCATTAACTGAACCAAAAATTGATAGAAGTTATTTCGAGTTTTTTTTTAACATTTCCCAACAAGTACTCATGGTATTTCAGTAATTTTGTTGTTGATAGTTAATTTTTCCATTTTTTTCGCTCTATAGTGATAATAACTTCTTAGCAGCCAAATTATAAATATGTATATTAATTCCAATACGCTGATTATTGATCCACCGATAAACAGTCCAAATATGCCTCCAACATAGACTGGAAAGTAATGAAAAATTATTGGAACTAGTATTCGGTAAAGGAATTTCTAAAAAGTCTACGAATAATCAAAAATAGACCTCTCCACAATCTTCATGAAATAAAAAATATACAAAAGTAGCTATAAAAAATTAATTAGGAACTTACCATATAAGTAAAGTCTGTTCATGACCACTTTTCTTTTGTAGCGAATACTCGTCGGTCCCGCATGATAAATATCAATTTTAATATCGTTCTTAGATTTAATTGGAACTGTATTAAATTTAGCATCATAATAAGTATAACTACAAGGCGAAGGACAATCACAGTGCATCATTTCATAATTGCTTTCATCATAGTCAGTGTCACCTGGCATTTGATAATCTTTAAATCGATCTGCAAAGAAGGAATCACCTAGGTTCAAAATTATTCACTATAACATGATTTTTAAAGTAATAAAGGAATTTGTCATACGATTATTTTCATATAGGCATTTTAAATCTCGAAGTTCGCAGTCTCGTGTTGTGTCTGCAAAAAATATTTATTCTTAAGTTTTGTATTGTTAAGAGTGTTACGCTCAAGACCCTTGATCTCGATTGTCTTACTCAAGAAGCGCAGAGGTCCAACAGGTGTCACATGTAATATCATTCAGTAAAAAGATCCATCGTCATATTTGTTTAAAAATTTGTCGAAACATTCAACCCGTTTCCTAGTGAACACCAAAAAACTGTTCCATAACTGTTAGGGACATTGGAATAAATCTCTGACAGTTATGGAACAGTTTTATGGTGTTCATTTGGGTCAATTATACACAATGAACGAAAGATGCAAAAGCCATTAGGAAAAAACTTACTTGGTGGAAAATAATATGAAGGACTGCAAGCACAATATTTTACAGCATGCATTTGTTTACATTTAGCCATACAACTATTAAAACTGTATTTCCTTCCATAGGTAAATTTATTTCTTCTACAGGGAATTTTACTCGAGTCCAATTCCAACACTTCCCGAGTCGCATATTGCGAAGAACATTGAATTCTCGCATTCAAAGAGACTCCAGTTCTAATCTCCTGACCCCAGTTAGGCCAACTATGACTTCCACGTATAAGAAGTATAACTCGTCGATACTCCTCTAATTTTAGAAAATAAAATAGTTGTTAAGCCTCTGCTGATGCTAACTTATCCCCACTCTGAGGCCAAAGATCGTAACTCCCATAGTCCCCACCAGAGGGTCGATTCTGTAACTTTCCCCCTCCCACTCACACCTTCCGTTTTCCACTCTCACTTCCCACCTTCCGCATTTCACTCTCACTACCCACTTTCTACTCTTACTTCCTACTCCCACTCTCACTTTTCACTTCCCACCTTTCACTTTCCACTCTCAATTCCCACCTTCCGTTTCCCACTCCTAATTTCCACTCTCACTTCCAAACTTCTCACTTCTATTCCCCACTTTTACTTTCCACCTTCCACTTCCCACTTTTCCACCTTCCACTTCCAACTCTCACTTCCCACCTTCCGCTTTTCACTCTCACTTCCCCCTCCCACCTTCCGTTTTCCACTCTCACTTCCCACCTTCCGCTTTTCACTCTCACTTCCCCCTCCCACCTTCCACATTCCACTCTCACTTCCCACCTTCCGCATTTCACTCTCAATACCTACTTTCTACTCTTACTTCCTACTCCCACTCTCACTTTTCACTTTTCACTCTCACTTCCCACCTTCCGTTTCCCACTCCTACTTTCCACTTTCACTTCTAAACACCCACTTCTAAATTTCCACCTTCCGTTTCCCACTCCTACTTTCCACTCTCACTTCCAAACTTCTCACTTCTATTTCCCACTTTTACTTTCTACCTTCCACTTCCCACTCTCACTTCCCACTTTTCCACCTTCCACTTCCAACTCTCACTTCCCACCTTCCGCTTTTCACACCCATTTTTTACTCCTACCTTCCACTTCCTACTCCTACTTTTCACATTCTGTAACTTTTCCATTCTTACTTCCCACACCCACTTTGATTTCCCACATTCCACTCAGACCTTCCACTTCTCACATTCCACTTTCAACACTCACTTACCACATTCCACTTTCTACTCCCACATTCCACTTTCACTTTCTACTTTTAACTCTCACACTCTACTCTCACTTTTAACTCTAATTTTGTGTGAGTGGGTAATGAGAGTGGAAAGTTGAAGGTAGGAAGTGGGTGTGGGTGTAAGAGGTGAAGACTAAAAGTGGGATATAGAAGTGAGAGTGAGAAGTAGGAGTGTGATGTGAGAGTGGAAGGTGGGAGTGGGTGTGAGAAGTGAGAGTGGAAATTTAGAGTGAGAAATGAGAGTGGGATTTGGGTCGAGGAAGTGGAGTGGAAAGAGGGAGTGGAATGTTGATGGTGGAAAATGAGAGTGGAAGGTGGGAAGTGAGAGTGAGCAGTGAGAATGGAAAGTGAAAGGTGGGTGTGGGAAGTGAGAGTGGAAAGTGGAGGGTGGGTGTGGGAAGTGAGAGTGAAATATGGGTAGTGAGAGTGGAAGGTGGGTGTGGAAGTGAGAGTGGAAAGTGGGAGTGTAAAGTGAATGGTGGGAAGTGAGAGTTGAAGGTAGGCAGTGAGAGTGGGCAGTGAGAGTGGAAAGTGGGAGTGTGAAAGTTACAGAATCGACCCCAGGCGTCGAGAATGACGATAATGGTCGTTAGCATCAGCAGAGACTTAAAATAAGTGTAACCACTTTTCGTTAAATAGTTAGAAACTCACCATAATTATTCGCTAGAACATATTTATCACGAATAGCATGATTAATATCGGGTGGGAATTTTATTTTACCCAAATGAAATGTAAACTTTAGTCCACTTTGATTTCCATAGGCTGCTGTTCTTTTGGATACAAATTTTTTGTTGTATTCATTTCTCTCGGAACGTGCCGAATTAAATGAGTAACAGAAACCGTAGAGTGTTCTTTGTAAATGAAATACTTCACAGCATGATATATTTCGATGATTCCAGAAGCAGTTTGAAAATAATGATTCACAATCGGGTACTGTTCTGTACAAGATATCCGTAATGTTGATATCTACTCGATGCAGACAAAGATAAAGAAAAACTTAATCCCCAGAATATCCCTTTAAATTTTATTTCAAGTAATTTAAAACTTTACTTGCTAGTTTTGAAGAAGCGATGTCCACACTGTTCATATGTTCCATTTCTGCCAAGTTGCCAAACGTCGATGTTGATAAGATATTCATTAAACCTCTGTACATGTTAATTGTTTCTGAATCATTTGATGGGATTATTTCCTTTTCCAATTGCATTGCTTTTGCCCAGTCAACTCTCTTCTTGGGGCAAATTGTCACACTTGGAAATGATACGAAGGAAACTCGATAACTTGGCGATTCAATTACGACTTCTGTTGGAGCAGCCTTATCAAAACAAATTAATCTTACCAAGTTGGAATATTGCTACAAAATACCTAAAGACTTAAAAGAAAGTGTAAATTTTTAAAAATCTTACTTGATACTCGGAAATAATTTTCGACATTTCTTGAGTGGTAAAGTAGATGAATATAGACAGAAAAATGAACCAAATAATTTTATCAACAGTATGTAATTCGGGATCGAAAATATATCGCACTCCATGAACATTACAACGATAGGCAATAAATTTTGATAAACATTCTTTTTCAATCAATTTGTCATTTCTGTCAATTTTTTGAATCACTCTCTTAACTCTTGGAATAATTTCGGAATTTTTGTTTTTAATCCACTTAAGTGATTTGTTATAATTTTTTATCTTTTCTTCCCTTAACTCTAGAAATTTTACTTAGTTACTTTCTTTTACAAAATGTTGTTATCATTTCAAAATTGTACCATATTTTATTAAATTAGTGTCAAACTTACCCCAAGCTATAGTTTTACCTTGAAATTTAGTCTTTTTCATCTTTAGCAATGAAGATGATATAATTTAGAACACTGGAAAAAATTATTCCTTATTAAGTTAACTATGTGAAGAAAAAAGGAAAAGAAGAGTAAAATTATTCTAACGTGAGAAAAGTACTATTTATACTATTTGTCTCTATAATAGTCCCCTCTATGATAAGAGGGGATTATTCGTTTATTGGATATGTAACCACAATTAACGAATGATTGATGAAGTAATTACACTTAATTTTTACCCTCTGACACATAGTGATTGAGCTGGCAAACATAGAGGGTTAGTTTCATTTATATTTCTTTTAATAAAATAATTGAGTTGATATTAAATTATTTTAATTTTACATATGTGATGGAAAAACTGAATATGTACAACTGAGAGTCGTGGATTTATTCACCTGACCACAAGAAACCATTGAGAATAGATTTCAGTTACAATTTGGTGAGTAACAAATTTCAGGTATATGAGGACCTTAGGGGTCGTTAACTCGTCACAAAGTAATATAAGAATTCACTCATAGGAGACCTCGTCGTAGACTAATTCAAATCCCCGACGATGGTTGTCCACTGCCTAACATCATCGATGTGTTAGGATTTAGGTGGATGCTTATCTACTGCCAGGCATGACTGACATCATGGATATGTTTGATAGACCTTGTCGTGGTGGCGGGGCTTTTCACTAAAGAACAAGCAAACAGCAAGAATAAGTGAATGAAGAAACTTGGGCACATCAAGAAATGAAAAAGACAAAATACATTAAAAAATACTTTATTCCAAATGGTAAATGTAATAACAACAAAACGTTTTATTTGCTTATTACAAAAATTTATTTAAGTTCCTTAAATATTCACCGATCATATTTTAATAAATAATTCTAACAACTATTTTAATATCTCTCCTTGGGAACATAAAATTCCGTAGTGAAAGTTGGTTTCATTTGTGGAAACTCAGAGAGATAGAGTTTTAGATGTTCAGAAGATGATTTTTTCCTTTCTTTTGTTTTTCTCCTTATGTAAATATAAAGACGACAGAAAATTCCACGTAAAAATAAATAAACTGGTTCAATTAGGCTAATTATTGAACCACCGACAAAAAGTCCAAAAACACCACCAAAGTTGACTGTATTAGGAAAAAATTAAAAATTGGTAAAAGGGTGTTTAAAAATTATTACAAACATTTGATAATTTAAGGAAATTTCCGTACCTAGTAATTTTAAACCAGTCGTCACGACATTCATTTTGTAACGAGTACCAACAGGCCCCTCATAATGAACGTCCAATGATATATTTTTGCTTGCAACTGATACTGAAAGTAATTTTACTTCATAATTGTAATAATCACAGGCTGGTGGACAGTCGCAAGTCATAATATCTTCTGCGCCTTCTTGAAAGTTTTCATCCCCGAGATTTTGATAAGTAATAAATTTATCTGTTATTAAGAATTTTCTTTAATAGATTTTCATTAATAGTTTTAAAATAATAATAATAATAATAGTAAATAAATTAAAGAAAATGTAAGTGCAAAACTATTACCATCATTTACATGTAGGCACTTTAAATCATTAATGGTGCATGTTGTCGTATTTTCTAGAAAAAATTCAATTTCTTAATTTTCTTAATTTATAATTTGGTAAGGTAATGAAAAGTGTTAAAAAATGGAAGATATATTTTTACCTGAAGCAAAAAAGAAGGATGGATTACAAGCACAGTATTTAATAGCGTGTTCACGTCTACATTCGGAAATACAAGTCTCCTGACTGTATCTGATATTTGTCCTTAAATCCTTCAAACGACATGGCATTTTACTTGGTGATAAATTTAAAACATCTTCGGAAGCATAACCAGAGGTGCATTTTACATTAACATTTGCTATCGATCCGACCATTATTTTATTAACAACTTTTGGCCACACCAGAGGATCATTAATGGAAATTAAAATTCCTGATTCACTGTCTCTTCTTGTTCTATAACGATATTTATCTGCAAATTTAAGTTAAGATTTTTTGATCGTATATTGATTCTTTTGAGGTGCAGGGGGTCGATTCTTTAACTTTCCACTTTCCACTCCCACTCAATACTTCCCATTCCCATATTCCCACCTTCGTCTCATACTTTCCACTGTATCCTTCCCACTATCCACTCTCTTCTTACACTTTCACTTCCCGCTCTCACCCCCACTTTCACTTTCCACCTTCCATTCCCACTTTTTCTTCACACTCCACTCCTACTTTCGTCTTCCACGATCCAATTTCCACTCTCACTCCAAATTTTTAATATCACTTTCCATATTCACTTTCTACCTTCCACTATCACCTCCCACTTTCCACTTTCGTCTCCCACCATCCAATTCCCAATTCCCACAAAGTTTACCACCTTCCACTGTCCACTCTCACTTCCCACCACCACTTACCACTCTCACTTAACACCTTCCACTTCCCACTCTCACTTTCCACTTCCACTCTTACTTCCCACTTCCAATTTCCACTCTAACCTCCCACTTTCCATCCCACCTTTAATTCCTACGTTCCACTTCCCAATCACACTCCACTCCCACTTCCGCTTCCCATTTCCACTTTCCACTCTAACCTCCCACTTTCCATTTTGCATCCCACCTTTAATTCCTACGTTCCTCTTCCCAATCACACTCCACTCCCACTTCCCACTCTCACTTTCCACTTCCACTCTTAGTTCCCACCTTCCGCTTCCCACTTCCACTTTCCACTCTAACCTCCCACTTTCCATTTCGCATTCCACCTTCAATTCCTACGTTCCTCTTCCTAATCACACTCCACTCTTAGTTCCCACCTTCCGCTTCCCACTTCCGCTTTCCACTCTAACCTCCCACTTTCCATTTCGCATCCCACCTTCAATTCCTACGTTCCTCTTTCCAATTACACTCCACTCCCACTTTCGTCTCACACTTTCCACTCTCTCTTTCCACTTTCTTTCTAACTATCCACTTTCTACTCTCACTTCCCACCTTCTATTCCGACATTCCACTTTCCATTTTCACCTCCCCTTTTAACTTTCCACCTTCCATTCCCAGTTTTCTCTTCCCACTCACACTCGTCTGCCACGATCCAATTCCCACTCTCACTTCTCGCTCCTAATTTCCACTCACACTTTCCACTCTCACTTCTCACTTATACTTTGCACTTCCACTTCTACTTTCCACTACTTTTTTCAACTCCCACTTTCCACTCACTTCCCGCTTTCTACCTTCCACTCCCACTTTCGCTCTTCACTTTTCACTCCTAATGTATGAGTGGGAAGATGAAAGTGGGTTTAGAAGGTGGGAAGTGGGAAAGAGAGTAAAAAGAGAGAGTGGAAAGAGGTAAGTGAGAGTGGAAAGTGAGAGTGGGAATTGGATCGTGGCTGACGAGCGTGAGTGGGAAGAGAAAACTGGGAGTGGAAGCAGGAAAGTTAAAAGGGGAGGTGAAAATGGAAAGTGAAAGTAGAAATTTGCAGAGAGAGTGGGAATTTGATCGTGGGAAACGATAGTGGAAAGTGGGAGGTGATAGTGGAAGGTGGAAAGTGAATATGGAAAGTGATATTAAAAATTTAAAGTAAGAGAGGAAATTGGATCGTGGAAGACAAAAGTGGGAGTGGAGTGTGAAGGAGTAAGTGGGAATGGAAAGTGAAAGTGAGAGGTGAGAGTGTAAAGTGAGTAGTGGGAATGGAAGGTGGGAGGTGAGAGTAGGAAGTGGAAATTTGGAGTTAGAAGTGAGAGTGGAAGACAAAAGTGAAAATTGAAAGTGTAAATGGAAGGTGGAAAGTGGGTAGTGGGAAATGAAGTGGAAAGAGAGAATGGTAGGTGAGAGTGGAAAGTTGGATTAAGAGTGGAAATTGGATCGTAGAAGACGAAAGTGGGAAAAGAAGGTGGAAAGTGGGAGGTGAGATTTGGTAGTAGAAACTGGGAACGGAAGGTGAGAGGTGAGAGTAGGAAGTGGAAATTTGGAGTTAGAAGTGAGAGTGAGTATTGGATCGTGGAAGACGAAAGTGGAAAGTGAGAGTGTAAAGTGTAAAGTGGGAATGGAAGGTGGAAATTGAAAGAGGGAGGTGAGAGTGTAAAGTGGGTAGTGGAAATGGAAGGTGGGAGGTAAGAGTAGAAAGTGGAAATTTGGAGTTGGAAGTGAGAGTCGGAGACAAAAGTGGAAATTAAAAGTGTAAAGTGTGAATGGAAGGTGGAAAGTGAAAGTGGGTAGTGGGAAATGAAGTGGAAAGAGAGAATGGTAGGTGAGAGTGGAAAGTTGGAGTAAGAGTGGAAATTAGATCGTAGAAGACGAAAGTGGGAGTGGAGTGTGAAGGAGAAAGTGTAAATTGAAGGTGGGAAGTGAAGGTGAAAAGTGGGAGATGAGACTGGAAAGTAGGAATGGAAGGTGGGAGGCGAGAGTAGGAAATTGAAGTGAGAAGTGAGGGTGGGAATTGTATCGTGAGAGACGAAACTGGAAAGTGGAAAATGAAATTGTCAATGGAAAGTGAAAGTGGGAGGTGAGAGTGGGGAGTGTCAAGTTGGAATGGAAGGTGGGAAATGAATGTAGAAGGTGATAGTGGAATGTAAGAGTGGGAATTTTGAGTGAAAGTGGGAATTGGATCGTGGAAGTGGAGTGTGAGTGTGAAGAGGAAAGTGGGATGTCGATGGCAAGTTGGAATGGAATGTGGGAAGTGAATGTAGAAAGTGATAGTGGAAAGTAAGAGTGGAAATTTGGAGTGAACGTGGGAATTGGATTGTGGGAGTGGAGTGTGAGTGTGGAGAGGAAAGTGGGAGTGGAGTGTGAGTGGCAAGAGGAAAGTGGGAATGGAAGGTGGGAAGTGAATGTGGAAAGTGGGAGGTGAGAGTGGATAGTGGAAGTGAAAGTAAAAGTGGAAAGGGATAGTGGGAAGTGGTAGGTGAGAGTGAAAAGTGAATGTGGAAAGTAGGAAGTGAGAGTGGATAGTGGAAGTGAAAGTGAAAGTGGAAAGGGAGAGATGAAAGTGGTAGGTGAGATTAAAAAGTGGAAATGTTACAGAATCGACCCCCAGAATAGAATTAAAAAAATTTATAAAATATTACTTGGTGGAAACATAATATCTCCTAATTCAATCGTAGCCATTAATCCAGAACGACTGCCATAGGCCGTAACTTTTCTCACTTTTGATTCAGTTGGATTTTCCGACACTAATGAATTAAATGAATAGCAAATTCCGTATTCTGTTTTTTGAATTTGAAAGATTTCGCAACAATTTTGTGGAACATTCCTCCACCAACAGTTTTTAAGTAAATCCTTACAATCTGGTACAATGTTGAACATTAATTCGGTTGCGTTGATCCCTGGTTAATGGAAAAAAAAGTTTTCAATGATTTTTAGGATTCGATCTATTAGGAAGGAAAGAAGATCTATTATACTTACTTAATAATTCCTCATGTTTTGTATTATTTAAGAAACCTAATTTGTATAAATCTACAAATGCCATTTTTCCCAATACAGTGACTAATTTCCTATAATTTTCAATGACTTCTGAACTATTGGAAATATTTTTCTCCAGATTTAATACTTTCTTCCAGTCCACACGATCAGATGGACAAATTGTCACACTTGGAAATGGAAGAAAGGATACTCGATGACTTGTCGATTCAATAATAACTTCCGTTGGTGCCGCCTAAGTTGAAACGTGAACAAGAGAAATATAATAATTGATAAAAAACATGTTTACTTTGATAATTAATAATAATAGTAGTAGTAGTAGTAGTAACAACAATAAGATTACTAATGCTGAAAATAAAAATTTAGAGTTAAATGTAATTTTTATTTTGTTTACCTGGAAATCCTTGACTATTATAATAAAAACATTTACAGTAAAGAAAATAAAGATGATGACAAAAATTAGCCAAATAATTTTTTCGAATAAATGTAGTTTAGGATCAAAAATATATTTGACACCATGGATAGTACTTCGAGAAGCGTAAAATTTTAATAAACTATATGAACTGTTTAATTTGTTGCACTTTGTTAATTTTTTCTTTTCTCTCATCAACTGCGGTAGGATTTTTTTCACTTTTATAGAATCAAGCGAAGAATTCCACGCTTGTTTTCTTTCTCGTGTCTCTAAAAATTAATGAAATTTTTTTTTTAATATTATTGAATTTATTACTTGGTGAAATTATATTAATATATATAAGAAGTTATCAATCCTCCAAGTCAATCAATTTTTTTTTCATAAAATTAATTAATATTAATTACAATAAAAATTAAAAATTTTTTTATTTGATTTCCATGTTCAAAAATTGGTTAGAATTTTGAAAAAATTACTTACTTTCTGTTAAATTGGAAATTCGCCTTCTCCGTTGATCCATTTTTAAAAATATATTGTATACTATAATCAGTTAATTCTGCTTTTATTTTTTACTATTAAATAATCTTTTATAAATAATAATATGTAGCAGAATTCTTCAATAACTTTTGTGACATTGTTTTTATAGTACACTTTCTTGAATAAAATTTGTAGTTATTATTTTGATGATGTACAATTTTATTTTAAGTGGCAAACTTTATTAATAGAAGGGAAAAAATAATTTTTTTTTTCTAAATAAGTAAAAGTGGTCAGAAAAGTGGTAATCAAATATCAGTGTTAACATAAAATTGACTGATAACGCCCAGTTTTATTTAATTAGAGTTAATAATAAAATATGTACTAATTCCTTCCTTCATTATATAAATACTTTAGGTTCCCACGTTTTTATATGTTTTTGTATTTATTATTTTTATTAGCCTTAACAAAATTATTTTAAAAATAGAAAAAAATTGTACATTCTGGACAAATAAATAATTTAATAATTTCATAATTTTTATATTATTATTGTTTAATACAATATATCATAATATTATTATTTTTAATATCTTTTTCGTTATTATATTATAATATATTATTTATTATTTTTTATTCTTTGGGGCAAAATAATTATTTTTTAATATTTATATATTTGTACTGCAACATTTTTATAATACTTTAATATTATTTAAATACTTTTTTAACAATTTGTTAAATTTATTAATTTTATTAACGTTTTGTAAAATTAAAATTAGTAATAGGATAATATATTATATATTTTTGTAAGTTTTTAAATGAATATTATGATAAAATTAGCTAAAAATATTCGGTAATTGAAAAAAGAATCAATGGATAAAATAAATATTCATCTGCCGATGGTAAATAATTTTTATGTAATTCTATTTTATCAGTTACTGTTTTTTTCAGTGGGTAACTAACCGACTTCAATGGTAAGTCATGAAAACTGTTTTATTGCAGGATTTTACCTTTACCTACCGTGAGACGTTGATTACGTTTCAGTCATTTGCGACTAGATGGCACCAGGAGTACTAAATTTGCTTCAAAAATTGTATTGTTATATATTATATTATATTATATTATATTATATTATATTATATTATATTATATTATATTATATTATATTATATTATATTATATTATATTATATTATATTATATTATATTATATTATATTATATTATATTATATTATATTATATTATATTATATTATATTATATTATATTATATTATATTATATTATATTATATTATATTATATTATATTATATTATGATTTATTTGTTCACTTTTAATTTAAATAAAAATTGCTAGTTAGCCCACCATATTGAATCCACCATTTTGAATATCTCATTTAAAAATGGGTAATTAGGTATCTTCAGAACATTCTGGTAATCTTAATTTTATTCTAAAATTTCTTTCTATTTTAAATTTTAATATTTTAAATGTTTATTGTTGTTTTAAAATAAATATTTAATTTATTAAATAATCTTTTTTATATATTTATCAATTTTTAAAAAAGTTTTTTGAGAATTTTCATATCGTTTACAATTATTCTTCAATTTTATCAGAAATTTCGATTATTCGGAAATTCTTCAACAAAATATACATTAGAAAATAAAAACTTCAAATAAATTTTTAAAAAATCCAATGAAACTTTTTCAAAATAATTAATTCTATACAGAATTTTGGGTTAAAAGTATGGAAAAAATTGATTTTCAAAGATTTTAATTTAAAACCTTTTTAAAATTCAATTATTTCTAAAAATACTATAATGCTTTTAATATTCAATTATATCATCTAAAATTTCAACTAAAATTCATTTTTTAATCAATTTTTATAAGAAAATTCTACGATAATTCAATTATTTAAATACAAAAATAAATAATTTATTGAATAATTGAATATATTTTTTCAAATTGCATTCTAATGAAGAATTTTATCCACAAATTTTTAAATAATTCAATTCTTTCGACAAATTTTTCAAAATTCAATCATTTTTTAATTGAAATTTTTAAATAAAAATTCAAATATTATTAAAGAACAATTAAAATTTTCGAAGATTTTAATTTAAAAATCTTTGGAAATTTAATTCTAGAAATTCTTGCTAGAACGCTTCTAATATTCAATTATTATTAACAATTTTAATTAAAATTCAATTTTAAATCAATTTTTATTACAAAATTCTACGAGAATTCAATTATTTAAATAAAAAAATAAATAATTTATTAAATATTTCTTAAAATTGAATTCTAATGAAGAATTTTATCAAAAAATTTTTTAAATAATTGAATTCTTTTGACGAATTTTAATAAATTTTTGAGAATAATTACATTTTTCGAGAAATTCGATTAAAATTCTGATAAAAATAAAATTGGAATTCTGTGATGAGTTTTATTATTTATGAAAATAATAGGAATTCCTATAAAGAATTTTATTATTCTTATTATTATTATTTATTATTTATGACAATAATTGAATCCATGTAAAAAATGTTCTTATTTATCAAAATAATTCAATTAATGCGAATACATTTATAAAGATTTGTAAATAATTAAATTTCTGTGAAATTTTTAATTATTTATGAAAATAATTAAATGTTTCTGTAGAATTTTTTTTTAAATAATTGAATTCCTTCAAATTATTGAAAATAATAATTGAAATTTCGACAACAAATTTATGAAATTTTTTTTAAATAATTGAATTCCGGAGAAGAATTTTATTATTTACAAAGATAATTGAAATTTTGTCAAGAATTTTATTGAAATTTTTGAAAATAATTGAATTTCGAAGAAGAACTGTATTATTTATAAGGATAATTGAAATTTCGATGAGAATTTAAAAAAAAAATTTTTAACTAAATTTCTTTAGAATTTAATTGAAGAATTTTATTAATTTAGAAAATAATTGAATTTCTGCAATAATTTGTAACTTCTTTAAAATTTAATTTTTTTTACAATTTTTAACTAAAATTCTTCAATATTATCCATTATTTTTATTATTTTCAATAATTAATTAAATATATGTATTAAAAAAAATTATCAAATTTAAAAAGACTTTGAATTATTAAAGTTTTTCAAAAATCTCTAAGTTCCCTAAAATTTCTATAATTAAAATCATATTCAAAATTCAAATTTTATAAAATTTCAAATAAAAACATTTGACAAAGAAGAGTTTTTTGAGGTTGCAGATTACGAATTTGATGTTAGAATTACGAAATTCAAAATGGCGGATTCAATATGGCGGTATTTAAAAATTTACTTGAAATCGCTTGAAACATTCTTACTCGGGGATTTTTGAGCACGCTGATTATGTTTTCTCAAATTGAAATTATGCAGATTTTTGTTCTTTACTTCTAAACAAAATTAAGAAATTTTTTAAACAACTGTGATTAAGAAATAGAAAATTGATTTATTTTGCATTATTTTTGTTTATGAATCACAATTTTTTTTAACAAAATTATTATTTTGTTTCAGAAAAAAAAAATATTTGCACAATTCATATTATTTTTAATCTTATTTTTGGAACAGAGAGATAAAATCATTATTTTATATCATAAGAATATTGTTACTGTAACTTCATTAAAATTATTTTCATTATTTTAATTAAATTATTATTTTTTAGAATTTTAAATTATTTTTTATGAAAATAATTGAATTCCTTAAAAAAATTTTATTATTTATGAAAATAATTAAATGTTTGCATACAATTTTACTGAAAAATTTTTTTTTTTATAATTGAATTATTTTTGGGAAATTTTATTAAAATAGCAGATATATTGAAAATTATTGATATTAGAAAAATGCATTTTATTTTTGAAAATAATTAAAATTATGGATTTTTTTTACATTTATGAAAATAATTGAACTTTGGAGAAGAATTTTGTTATTTATAAAGATAATTGGAATTTTTACGAGAATTTTTTTCAAATTTTGAACATAGTTGAATTTTATAAGAAGAATTTTATTTTTTTTTGAAAATAATTGAATTTCTATGCAATTATTTGTAATTTCTTCAAAATTGATTTTTTTTTAGTGTTTTCAACAAAAATTTAAATTAGAAAATTTTTAAATTCTATTCTTTTTAAAATTGCTAATTTTATTTTTAAAAAGGCAGTAAGAAGTTAGCGGCGCGCTTTAGCGAGCGAATTGTTGCTATAATTTTTTTAAAACTTCTACAAAAAAATTTGTGGGAGCTCCTCCGAAGCGAGGCATCTTGCGGTGAGAAGAATATTTCTAGACTTGATGATCGAAAATGAAAAAATCATAAACTAAAAATTATAAAGCAATTCATGTAAACCTTAAGGTTATTATATTATAACCTTTAGGTTATAAGCAGTATTTAAATGACTAATAATTTAATATTAATATAATAATATTAATATTATTATAACCTTTAGGTTATAAAGAGTATTTAAATGACTAAAAAAAAATTTCTGGACTTGATGTTCTAAAATAAAAAAACAATAAAGTAAAAATTAAAGCAATCCATGTAAACCTTGAGGTTATTATAAATTCTAACCTTTAAAAATGTTAAATGTTAAATGGTTAAATGTTAAATGGTTTTAAAATGTTAAAAATTTTAAAATAATAAGTTAAAAGTTAAAAAATTTAAATGACTAAAAATTTAATACTGAAATAAAAAGCGCAGAGAACGGCTGACGTTATTTTGGAAAGTAAATGTAGCATTTGTTTTGAATGGACTGTTAGTAGGAGAGGACTTATATTGTGCCTTGAGGTTAAATTGAAGTTTACGCTAGGATCGCCTATCACAGCACGACGATATACGTATGTTGATAAATATATTCGTGAACATGTGTAGAGGCACGTCAACTATACAATTTAATGTGGAAAAGGTGTGTGCGAGCGAAATGCATTTGCCTTTCGTAATGTATTTGTATACTTGTGTGTGTATTCGCGAATATATGTGAAAATATATGCTATATATACATATATATATATATATAGCATATATAGCATATATATAGCATATACAGCATATATACATGTATAGGTGCGTAATACGTTAGGCAAGTTGGTTGGGCACTTGGAGCGTGTATGTGGGAAATGCCGCCTGTTGCGCCCATCCGCGTGGAATTGCAAAAATACTGAGTATCGGGAGCTTCGGGCTTGACGTTGAAGTAGCTTATTCGAAATTAACGAGGTATAAAGAAAACACCCAACTCACCAAACCAACCGTTTATTTTCAATGTGTTCCCGATAAACTCCGCGCACTTTACTCTCAATTTTCTATATTTACATTTTAATAAATTCAATAAAATTCGTTAAACACACAAGTTTGGCTTTTACACATTGTTTATGTTATATTTCCTTTTCGCCTATATATTCAGGTCAAAATTCATTAATATACAAAATAAAAAGTTTTTTCTTTTATTTCCCTTATATTCAAATTTTGCAAAATTTTACACAATTCACAATCAAAATAACGTACTTTTTTTGGTAAATTAACTTACTTTTATTTTTCAGAGAAAATTGCATATATAAATAATTATTAATTATTAATTATTAATTATAAATGCATATATATTATAATTAATATACGAAAAGTAAACCTAATTTTATGATCAGTTAAAGAAAATAATTTATTTATTTTCAATGTAGCTATCAAAAAATTAAACTTGACGACAAAAGAAACTCGTTTTTAGACGCACTTGACAAAACTGACAAGAATTTCATTCTATATTTTATTTTTCTCACTTTTTTTTAAATTTTCATTAAAAATATTTACTTCTTTCTTATCCTGATGCTAATAAATTAAATTCCTTCAACGAATTTTATTATTCATGAAAAAATTTAAATATTTATTGAAAATAATTTAATTCTTGCGAAGAATTTTATGAAAATTTTTAAAGAATTGATTTCTTTCGACTAATTTTATGTAAATTCTAATTTAAATAATTGAATTCCTGAAAAAATTTTATTATTCATGCGAAACAAATTGAATTCTGACGAAGATTTTTGCAAGAGAAATTTTTTAAATAATAATTGAATTCGGTTTGGAAATTTTATGAAAAATAGTAGATATTGAAAATCATTGAGATGCAAAAAGTTTTTAAAAGTAATTAAATTTTACAAAGAATTCTATTAAAATTCTTGAGAATAATTGAATGTTTGTGTGGAATTTTATTAAATTTGTGTGAAAATAATTGAATTCCTAAAAAGTATTTTATTAATAATGAAAATAATTCAATTCTTGCAAAATATGTTTCTAGAATTTTTAAAAATAATTGAATTTTCAAGAAAAAATTTATTACTTTTAAAAATAATTGATTTCCTGTGATGAATAATGTTATTTATGAAAACAATTGAATTTTGTAAAGAATTTTATTAAAATGCCTCAGAATAATTGCATTTTTGGAAATAATTGAATGTCTGTTAGGAATTTTATTAAATTTTTTTTTGAAAATAATTGATTTCCTAAAAAGCATTTTATTATTTTTGAAAATAATTGAATTTTGCAAAGAATTTTATTAAAATGCCTTTAAAATAATTGACTTCCTAAGAAGAATTTTATTATTTATGAAAATAATTGAATATTATTGTGAAAAATTTTATTAAAATGTTTAAAAAGAATTGAATTCCTGTGAAAAAATTTGTTATTTTTGAAAATAATTGAATTCTTTATAAGAATATTATAAACATTGTTTTAAGTAATTAATTTTATCGAAATATGATAAATATTATGAAATTTCTTTTTCTAAATAATTGAATTCTTGTGGAAAATTTTATATGTGACAATAATTGAATTTTTCAATCAATTAATATAAAATAGGTATTAAAAATAATTGAAATTCTTCGGTGAGTTTTATTATTTATGAAAAGAATTAAATAGTTGCTGAGAATTTTATTAAAATTTTCAAAAATAATTTGATTTCCTGAGAAGAATTTTATTATTTATGAAAATAATAGAATTATTGCTAAAATTTTTTTTTAAATATTTAAAAATAATTGAATTTCTGTAAATAATTTTGTTATTTTTAAAAATAATCAAATTTTATAAACATTATTTTAAACAATTATTTTTTTTTGAAATATAAATATTGTGAAAATTTTATTTTAAATAATTGATTTCTTCTGGGAAACTTTATTTGTGGAAATAATTGAATTTTTCGATTAATTATTTTTAAATGTTATTAAAAATAATTAAAATTCTCCCATGAGTTTTATTATTTATAAAAATATTTGAATTCTTGGGAAGAATTTTATTAAAATCTAAAAGAATAATTGAATTATTTCAAAAATTTTTTATTAAAATTGTATTTAAAATAATTTATTTCTTTTCAATTATTTTTTTAAAAATATTTGAAAATAATTGAATTTCTGTGAAAGATTCTTATATTTTTGTAAATAATTGAAATCTTCCAAAGAATGAAAAAAAACATTTTTTTCAATAATTGATTTCTTCGAGGAATTGAAATTAAATTTTTAAGAATAATTACATTTTTCGAGAAATTCCTGTAAAATTGTGTTAAAAATAATTGAAATCCTGACATGAATTTTGTTATTTATGAAAATAATTGAATTCTTGCTTAGAATTTTATTGAAATTTGCAAAAATAATTGAATTCCCGTGAAGAATTTTATTATTTATAAAAATAATTGAATTTTTGCTTAGAATTTTATAAAATTTTTTTTTAAATAATTCAATTTCCATGAAAAATGTTATTTTTAGTGAAATTAACTGAATTATTGTAAAGAAATGTATAATAATTTTGTTAAATAATTTTTTAAAAAAATTTTTTTAATAATGCTATTCTAAATTAATTTAATTCTTGTGGAAATTTTATTATTTATGACAAAAATTGAATTTTGAATGAATTTTATCAATTTTTTTAAAAAATAATTAAATTCTTTTACGGAATTTTATGAAAATACTAGATATTGAAAGTAGAATTACGAATATTTTTGAAAATAATTGAATCGTTTGAAAGAATTTGATTATAATTTTTTAAAATAATTTTTTTATTTCTAGTATTAGCGATTTTAAAGTAAATTCTCAAAAAAATCAGAAATAGTAGCTTTTAGTGGCTGAAATCTAAAAAAAAGTACCCAAATAGTAGCATAACGTTAAAAAAGTAGTAAATAGTAGGTTCAGTAGATGAGTGCGTAGCCTGAAATATCGAAAATCTACATTTATTACGATTTTGATGCAGTTTCTTAAAATTCAAAATGGCGGATCCAATATGGCGGACGGTATTTTAAAAATTTATCAGATTTGCGCGAAAATAGTTACTCGGGGGTTTTTGGGATCGCTGATTATGAATTAAATGTCGGTATTTCAAAATTCAAAATGGCGGATCCAATATGGCGGAAATTTTTATTTAAACAATAACTGTTTTGTTTATTTTCTAAAAGAATAAAATTATTTTCGAAGTTATGAGCAATTATTTTTTGGGGGCCTTAAAAAAACCTTCTTTCGCGTGGACATGATTAAACGGAACCGGATCATCTGAAATATAAAAACGAAAAAGATTCTCAAACCCGTTATGGTCATGTGGGGGTCCAGATTGAATAACGAGAAATCCTCTTGTATTTTGAAGAAAGGACAGACCTTAAAGTAAATTTCAATACAAGAATAATGAAAATTTATACTTTTACAATCACCGTTTTGTTTGATAATTATTTAAAAGTTTTTTAATCGCATCATTTTTTATTTTTTAAATTTTACACTATGTTGATTTCTAAAATCAGAATAGGGATCAAATTGTTAACTTATTTCTGGAATTAAATGAAAATTCGGAAAAGAACATAAAATATTTTCAATTATTGGCTATTTATTTTATAGTCGACTGAGGTTTAGAAATAAAAAAAATACTTTTAAAAATAGTAACACTTGCTCGTCAAAATGTATATTTATTCCGAAATGAAACCACATCTTGTCTTCGATGTCACTTGGCGTGCGCAATCTGCTACTGACAAGCCCTCAAAACCAAATGTTTCATAGTACCAATAACGAATTTGAAGAGCAAGGGTAAAATGTCACTTTATATAGAATATTGAATTTAAATTCTATTCGACCAGAAGAAATATATTTGGAATTAATATTAAAAATATCTAAACTTCCTTTATTTGATATTTTTTTATACTGTTTCTTAAGCCGCCAAAGAAGACCGTACGGTGCGAGAGGACAAAAAAAGGGTTTCTACTACGTCTCTTACTTTCGGGGTAAGCCGATATGCATTTATTATAATAAGAAATAAGAAGTGTCGAGTGAAAAGTTTTTTGGTGCTAGAGTCTTAAGGCTTATCAACTTTCTCTCTCTCTCTCTCTCCGACTTTTATATTATTTAAGAGAATTCCCAGCCTCTTGTGACTTTTGCTTTTTCGTATAGCTTTTCCTTGGGCACACTTCATTTCTCACCCTTCGTTTCTCCATTTTTCTTTTCAACCTGTTTTCTTAGTTTCATTCGCTCTTCTTTTTTTTCTTGTCTTTTCCTCGAGACGATATTGTCCTCTGCTATTTGCCTTGCTCTTTTTTTTCCTCTCTCCATCTCGACTTGGGAGTTTCTTGAGCATAAGTACCAAAAGGAAATGCCTCTCGCTACAAAAGTTGCGGACAAAGTTTACACTTGCCAACGCAAAAGGCGAAGGTGCAAAGCATTTCAAGTTTCCAAAATGCCATTAACATATTTATTTGTCCCTCAAAGTAGTTTATTCACGCACTGACGAACATTACTCAAAATCGATTTTCCCAGTGTTCGATTATCACGCCTCTGAGAGCGGGATTCCATTAAATTTGTGCGGCAAACATTTACAAACGGGGATAAATTTCCTTTTACAAGCAGGAAATTTTTATTTCGCAAAATTGTTCTCAAGAAATTTCATGTTAAATCTAAACCTTAATTTCTAGTTTTGCAATTTTTTTGTATCCTCTCAAAGAAGAGAGAAAGATTCGTTGTTCAAAAAAATTTTCTTCTACTGATTATAAATAATACTTTTGTTTAAAAAAATAGATTAATTTGGGTGACAGCGGTGGGAATAATTTACATTTGTGTGAACCTTAAAAAAATTATTTCTTCTACTGATTATAAATAATACTTTTGTTAAAAAAAAGATTTTGTTAGGTGGCAGCGGTGGGAATAATTGTCATTTGTGGCAAGCTTCAAAAAATTATTTCTTCTACTGATTATAAATAATACTTTTGTTAAAAAAATGTTAGGCAGAAGCAGTGGGGATAATTGTCATTTGTGTCAACCTTCAAAAAATTATTTCTTCTACTGATTATAAATAATACTTTTATA